GCTACATAAATACATTGTTATCATGTGAATATTCTCCAGTTGGCGAATTGACAAGGATAATAGGACAAGCTACCATACGTTTGTGAAGTGAATGCGAATCATTTCTACGTGTTAACCGTCGACCGCTCACCCGAATTTTGTTTGGCGTCAATGAGTGTTGAAGAAACCGCCCTCATATCTGACCAGACAAATGACCCGATGATAGCAGATCCGATTGGCGTGGGGAGTTCTCTCATGCGTGCTTTTTGATTGACTGATTGAGTAGTGATTCCGGGCGCGTCAATTACTAAGGGCATTAGTCCTGCAAGTGTAGTGCTGTTTTTTATGTCGCGGGAGGTGGCAGTGATCGCCCCAGCTTGATGACGAAATCCAGTGCCAACCTACACGTCGGTTTGCGGTGTGTGTGTGTGTGTGTGTGTTTTTCTCTTTCTTCCAGCTGTGAAAAGCGTTCAAGTGGCACACTAGTGTTCACTTTCATTTCTACGAATTTATTATACACGTGTGCAAGTCATCAATTCCGTAGTTACTTTCTGAATCGTGCGAATTGTGTTCGAGTGAATATACAAGAATGTTTGCAAAGAAACGCTCTGTTTCAGGGCAAATGTGTATGTGCTGATGTGAAATGTTTAGAAAATACTGTACTGTGTGTATGATCTGTTGTTTAGTTGAATGAGATGCAAATAGGACCCCTATCTCGGCGTTGCTTAATCGAGAACAAACTTAGTGTTATCCGTGTTTACTTATACCGGGTAAATTTATGGTGAACAAGATACTGTGTCACAAAAGTTCGTACTACAACTCAACTATATTTAAAGGAAATAAGTAGAAACGTGAATATCTGTTCAGTGGATTTGTACATACAATAACTTTTTCATGAAACTTTTATCAAAACTCAAACGAAGCAAAGTTCTGTTTGATGGATATTGGGTCGTGATATGTCCCTGAAAAGCCGAGAAATATTTGCAATACAAAATGCGAAATTTCGTTTACGTACTTGTGAATATAAACCGTGCTCAGATGGATATCGACGATGCATATTGGTGGTACTGGTGGGTACGCTGGCGTCTACAGACACTTCGAGTACATTGTTTAATTTTCTTATATTTATACTTTTAAATTAACCTAATAAGACATTTAACTTCGGCCACGGAATCTGGTGCCAACAGCGTGCTCAATGAGAAGCTTGTGCTCAGGCTGTTGATTTGATATTGTTCCTTTTGAGAGACAAACGGAAGCCGTTTTCGTGAATAAGACGTGACTTTCTCCCCAATGCTCCAGCTGCTAAAGTGTATATTTGTGTGTTTCTGTGTAAAGCAAATCTTACGTCTGTCTCCCTTCGCAATTCGTTTGTTCTGGGTGGAAACGTCTCCCCTTCGGTGTCAACTTATTTCCTCTCCAGCAAGTTGCCTTATTTAAAGTAAAACTAGGCGCAGACTTGTTAAACCCACGAATGAATTAGTTGCAATAATGAGGTCCTAAGAGAAACATTTGATCTCTTCCTTTTACCGGCGTGTATTGCGTCCAGTCAGTATATATTGATGTTTTATATATTTAATGCCGTGATAAACAAAAAATGAAAGTAAGTGCATCTCTAAAAACCCTGCCTTTGGTGTTGGTGAATAAATAAATGTAGCATGAACAGGACAAAAGACCGGTCGATCAAATAACTGGTTCAACGCCGCCAGTCGAACAATCCACGGAACTCATCGATCAATCGAAGCGAGAGAGCTGAGTTCGTGCTCGTCAAAATTTCATGAGCAGTCGAAAGTACAAAACAAATTATAAGAGTGAAATTAAATGCAACATTTGTATTTTATTATTAGGAAAATAACATTTTAAATTGTGAGAATACAAAAATTGGAACTGTTGACGTGTGTTTTTGCTCGTAAACTGAAGTTGTATAAGATGTGTAAATGATAAAATTAGTGGTGCTATAGAATGGCGCAGACTTTCTCGTACTAGTGAGTTTTCTATCTCTTGAGTTTGGACTAACTATTCGGATTTACCCCTTCCTCGCCCACCTACTACTCTCGGCGCCTTAAAAGCAATTTTTTCACATTTTCTCGATTTTTAGGTCCCCTAATAGTAAAACTGAAATATAACTTTAAAAATATGTAATAAAACCTGATTATGTATGGTAATTTTTTCTAAAAAATTTGGAGCCTTTTTTTTTTATTTTATATGTCGTTTGAGTGTTTCTGAAAATGCGTAGTTTTGAGATCATTTTCAAAGAAAACGTTTGAGTTATCGAGAACCTTCATAAGGAATCGTTCGAAGCACTTGTGCTCACAAATGTAATACTTTATAAAAATAAGCAAGTAATATAAATATTAACTACATGAGAAATATTTAAAAATGGGCGAATATTTGGGGAAAATTCTACGAAAACTTTAGGCGCTAGTGATGCTCCCAAACGGACGGACAGACGGATGAACTTGTTTTTCCAACACTTTTTCGGTATCGGGGGACACCAAAATGTGTATTCGTATATCCGTTGAAATTTTGAAATCGATTTTTCGCAGTTCGCTCAGTACGTAACTTCTTTTATACTACGTTGATTATTCTGTATATTGATAAGTATATGGTAGAGTAAAGAAATGCGTGAATTAACTGAACTTTTCTACGAATATGAAATGTTTGGAGTAGAGAGTTTCTATTTTAGCACTATTCCCTGAATGTAGTCGTTCTTGAAAGAGCTCTTTGTTATCAAAACGAAGTATAGAGTTGTGCACCGTAAGGGTGGAGTCCGCGTTGGCAATATGATGAGTGGGAAATACACCTGATACTCTACGACGGCGCGTGAACGGCACTGCATGAATTATCAAGCAAAGCCGTTTTCGGGCCTTCCCCGCTTCGTGGCCGCTTCGAACGTCCGCTACAAGGTCGATTATTAATGAAATTCAATAAAATTGACACGCTGATACTAACACTCTGCTTATCACCAAGGAATTCTAGAACAGGGAGAGCAGTTCCAACCTTCCACCAGAACGAGAACAGAGGTCGTAGCTCTCCCCCGCTCCTGCTGGGCGCAACTTCCCACAGAATCATTTTGCTCGCACACGAACAAGGAAAATTTAACCACGGGCCCTGTTTCGTTCGTGCTTGCTTTAACCGCTGGGTACTTGCGATCACCCGGACGTATTAAACAGCGCGGCTAAAACAGGCATGAATCCCGAACTTGTTGCGGCCCTTCGTGTATCTCTGACTCAGTGAATTTCATTTACAATTAAAACATTAACATTAACGTAAGGACATCTACGCGCAATTTTGACATATACATGACTATTTTATTCACAATGATGTAATGTAAACACGAACTCAGCGACTTATGAACACAATAACCCGTACAATACATATGCAGCACAGATATTCTGTTTATAATCGAATGACAAATAAGGAAAATGAACGCGATTTTTCTAAGATGACGGATTCTTACACGATGGGCAGAATGAGTGATTCCCTGGAGAGATTCATGAGCAATGATGTTGAAGTGCAATTTAGGCTCGCAAACTGCGTGACCTTAACGAAAATGCTATGCGTTCTTCAGGTTTTGCTGCGTAAACAGTAATTTTTGTTATCATATGACGTCAATGTAAACGTGAAGGCTTGGAGTTTCACTGTCATAACATTCACTGTCGCTTTTTATCTCCAATCTGAATCGAATGTATCGAATTGCATGGCATCATACTCTTGCATTGACATGACATTTTTCAGGTTGCGTTCCCGTTGTTTTTATTGCAAATTCTTGGACGCCTAAAATGTGTATTTTCAACCGTTACAAATCTTGCTTTGTTGGTAATTGTATTCACCATTCCAATATTTAGGATCAAAAGGTAGTTTAGGGATTTCAGAGCTCGAAGAAACGTGCGCTCTTCTCCACCTATACATCACATTCAGGTTTTACTGTTCCTGGACAAAATAATTCAAATCAAATACTCCGCAACCAGACAATGTCGGCACCCTCGACTAGATATATTCCGCAATTACACTTTGATTTAAATATAGTGGAGCTTGACGGAGAAATAAACTCTGTAATCTAATCGGGAGCTTGGGTACGACTTAAATATTTGGTATTGGAGCTCCCGGTTGGATGACTGTCTCCCTCTCGTTCCAACTCGTGACCTTGAAGCGCCACTAACTTCAAATTGGAGTATTGCAGGCGCGGATCCACAGAGAGAAATTTCCTCACCCAAAATGTTTCAGTAATTATTAATTTTATTTAGTTCCGAAACTTGTAAGCAAAAATATTTTTGTATAAACGTTAAAACGATTAAAATTGAATCGCAACATGAGCCTGCGTCATTCTACATAATCTGTAACATGACGCATTGGACCAAAACATTTTTGATAAAAAAAGAATTCCCCTCTCAAACTTCGTCTGTGGATCCGCCCCTGAGTTTAGCGTCTTGAAGCACGCGAGCGAACGTCGGTGGCGGCGTGTGTGAGCGAGGCGTCGCGCGTGCGCTGTTGCAGCGATGCGGAGCGCGAACCGGCCGGCGTCCCGGGCGCGGGGGCGGCGGAGGGCCCCGCGGCGCTGCTCGCGCGGACGGCGCTGCGAGCGAGCGACGACGGCGAGGAGCGGCAGCAGCGGGCGTCCCCGGCGCAGGCCGTGAGCGGCGCGCCGCAGCGCGCCGCTTCTCCACCGTGGAAGCACCCGACGAGGCGGCGGCGGCGCGGGCGCGGGCCGTCGGGCGGGAGCAGCGTGGACGAGGGCGCGCCGCCAGCCCCGCCGGCTGGCGCACAGCTGGCGCTCGCGCGCTGCCGCTTCGTCAACGCCAGCGTCACGTGCGGCTGCGCGGCGTGCGGCAGCGTCCAGCGCCGAGCTGGCGGCCTCCTGCACGGCGCGGCGACAGCCTCAACAAACAACCCCTGCGCTGACGGCGATGCGGACGGGGCCGTGATGGCGGCGCCACGGCGCGTGGCGCGGCGGCGGCGGCGCAGCGCGCGGCGGCGGCGCGGCGGCGGAGCAGAGGACGACGGCGGCGGCGCGGCGGTAAGTGGGCGGGCCGGCGGGGCGACGCGGCCGCCCGGTGGCCGACGGGCTCCCGCCCGTGGAGGCGCCCCTCGTCGACAACCTCAACCACGCGCTGCTCGCGCGCGCCGCCGCGGGCGAATGCGGAGGAGAAAGTAAGAACGCCGGCGCGGAGCCCCCGCACAACCGCTCCCCCAAGCGCCAGAGCCCCTCTGTGTACGAGAGGGTCAAGTCCAAGGTCAGTCGCTCCCTCTCCAACGGGTCTGTCGTGCAGAAATTACTGCTAGATACGTCGAACCCCAATTCTATTCTCCCTAGGTCCATCGGCGTGGGGGGAATGTTTCGAAGACCGACGAGTCTCATAGTTGACAGTGCTAGTGATGAGAAAGTGGATAATAACGGTGGTTGTGGGAACATACAAGGTTACAAAATTGTCGAGTCTGTGGGTAGAGATAACGATAACAAATATTCGAACACGAAAGTTCATTCGTCTCACAAATCGGTTACGAATACTTTGACGACTTGGACCTGTCATAGGTGTACTTTGGAAAATCCTGGGACTGTTGACAGATGTGAAGTGTGTGAAACGCCTAGGAGGTCTAGCTCGACTCTGAATTCTCTAACCAACAACGGCCTACTCTCCAATACTCTCCCTCGTAATAGTATTGTGATTACGGTTCCTGACTGGGAGGAAAACAGGACAGTCGAAACGAAGGACACTACTGACGTGCTCCAGGAATTTTCTTGCCGATCTCAAAAGAACTTGTCTCGACAAATCTTACCCACGCAAGGGAGTTCTAACGAATTTCTTGGACCTTTGGCTGAGGATATGGCTTGGACTAGACCAATGTACCGACGTTCGTTTTCGGAAATGAATTCGACTTCAAGTGATTTAGAACGCAGTCGTCAAGTTGCGAATCGTCGCAGCATGGTTGAGACCGACCTTCAGGGGAACCTTCCCGTGCGTTCTCCTGTTAATTTGAACCTCCAATTGCAGCAGCAGTTGCAGGCGAGTCGCCCGAGTCCCCGATATTCTTATATTGGAATCACAGATCCCAGCACTACTCAGAACTATAGGCAATCCGTGGCACCCCCACGGAAGGTAGTAAGTGTTAAAAAAAGGTTGATTCCTCCATCTGTTTTAGATATGGCAGATCTGACCAAAGCAACAAACGGAAATATTTCCTCAACACCTACCGCCAACACCGCTTCTTCTCCGGTTCAAGGAAACCAAAATTCTCTTCAGTACTCTTCGTCATCAAATACTTCTTCAGAAAATTCAAGTCTGGCTGGCACTTCCTTTGATCGAATGTGGACCTGTACAAAATGTTCATACGCCTACAACCCTTTATGGTCCGATAGCTGTGATATATGCAACTCTGTACGCTCACCACCCTCTCTGACAGAACCTAGTCTTATCACTGTCACGAAAGACAGCGTGCGCTACCTGCCTACCAAGAGAGACGGGTCTCAGGAATCCGAGAGCTCAGAAAGTCTGAACAACAATGATCCCTTGTCCACGGTGTTGCCCGGGCCTACAGCAACTTTGGCCACTCTGGAACAGGATCTAGAAGATGATTTCCAATTTCTGCCTGGGGAAGAAACCAGTCCGAGTGCAACAGAACAAGACTGGACTTGCAAAAAGTGTACGTTGGTTAATTCAGGAAATGATATAGCATGTGTTGTGTGTGGTGGTTCAAAACTGCGTAGTATAACAATGGTTGAAGATATGACTCTTAGGAAAGGGGAGTTTTGGACTTGTTCACAGTGTACCCTAAAAAACCCTTTAAGTGCTCAATCGTGTATGGCATGTAAAACAACCAAAAAGCTGTTAGAGGTTCCTAAAAGTAGTTGTGGTGGGCCTAGGAGTCCATCTCCACGGCAGTCTTCACGAATTAGCGGAGGGTCTAGAGTGAGTAGTGGTGCAATTCCCAAGCAGAGACATTCAAATGCCGTGAGCAGCCGTCGCAGTGCAACCCCAAGTGCTAGAAGCAACGGAGTAGTGAGTCGCCACCATAGATCCAGTGGTGGCAATATCAATACAGAGCATTCCATGGTGTCGTTGGCTGTGACCCAGCCCTCTGGCAGCCGGAGCCCCCGCCCGCCGTCGGAGCACGTTTCCCCATCAGTTCCCAACTTGTGGCAGTGCAATTTGTGTACTTACGAAAATCGAACAGCCTCAGTGTCTTGTGAAATGTGTCAAAGTTCACGCTGTTTGTCTTCATCATCAGTCATGACAAATGGCAGAATGTCATCATCTCCTGTGCCATGTAATATGGCTCCAATGATAACTGGTCTCTCTAATGCAGCATGCTCTGCAGTTTTGAAACAGGAAAGTGAACTAATGGAAGATTTGCGCCAGATTGAGGAAAAAGAGGCCTTGGAGAAGTGGGAACGCATTGTACAATATTGCAAAGAGGTAAGCACTTGCTTTTATATTTTGTAACAATTCTCAGGGCATCACAAATTGATCTATAATATTAAATTGAATAAAATATGTATCATCAAGTTATTATTTCAAGAGTGGCATTAACTGTTCAGATAAAAACAATATTATTCAGTTTGTGATTATTAAATGTGGTTTGGAATACCAGAAACAGTAAAGTTTATGTATATGTATGTTTTGTTTATCATTCTAATTTATTTTCTTACCATTACACTCTTCATTAATTTTTCAAATAAAATATATTTTTACCATAGAAATTAATGCATAATGTGTTAAAATTTTAATTAAAATAATTTAATGTTAATTAAGTAAACTTTAAATATATTTTCTATTATTATTATTGTAAAGTGTATAATTACTTGAAAGGAGTCATTTTATTTTAATAAAAAATATTACTCTTAGACATATATTTATGGAGTGATATGATCTTTAAAACCAGGAAAGACATAATATGGATTTAAGAATGTACAATTCTCAATGTTAAAAAACAAATTAAATTTTTGAAAATAGGTAAAATCATGCGTATCATCTTCAAAATGTATTTTTTCCCATCAGATTGGCTGCAAAAAATGTCTTTATCACATAGCCCATTGACTATACCTGTCTATAAATATCGTATTAAAAACATCTCTGTATTTTGGAGTCAGAGTATTTGACAAATTGTAAATTTTCTTTTAAATCAAGAGTCTTCTGGCCCAAAATTTGGTTGGTTGGATGTTGGATTTAATCTCCTCTCAAAACTTGAGTGAAGACTAAGAAAACGTCTGCAAGATTCTGTATTTTACAGTCTTGGGATTGTCAGGGATTTGAAAATAAATTTAACTGATCATCTAAAATAATAAAAATACTTACTTGACTTATGATATTAGGCCCTAATTTATTTATAAAATTTAAGTTTGCAGTTTTTTATTTATAACACTGTAAAACAAGCAAGAAATTCTTTTCCATATGTACATTCTACTATCTTAAAAACAGGACACTTACAAGTAGACGTACTTAAGAATTACTTCAAACAGAAATTTAATATTAGTGCTGATAGACAAATTTTATGTATCATTCTTTAATTAATATTTTACTTATCATAATAATTGTGCAATCTTTTAAGCAAAAATACAAAACATGTCTTTAACCTATGCAAACTTTACTTGCTAGCCATGTATTAGGTTACAAAAGCTTATGAGTAGAAAATTTTTAAAAAAAAATTAATTTATGGTAAAAATCTGAAGAAAGATATATTTAGGAAAACTTTTCAAGATAAGAAATGTTAAACATTATTGTTGATCTTAATATAATTATTTACAAGTGGCTTGTCTATTTGTTTCTTTATCATTTAACCACACGATTCTGTTTTGAATAATGATAGAATCTGAAATTATTTTATTATTTTAAGACCCCCCCCCAGTAATTCAATACAATCTATTGTCTGTAAATAAGAAAGAGATAGTATTGCTTTCAATATATCACAAAAGTTATTTCTAGTTCGCCATGTTAATGAAGTTTACGCTTGAAATGTATTTCCACAAGCCAGTTAATTCTCTATGTGAATTTGAGTAGAAACTAGTGAACTTGAATGGGAATTCAGAAAATTAATTTTAGTCTTGTAGTTACCAAATAATTGATCAGTACTACTTATTTAAAATTGCTTTACTTAATGGCTTTCAATTAGAGGAATACAGGTATGAAAGTTTGTCATTTTTCATGTTCCTATTATATTCTAAGTCTTCTTTCTTAAATATGCCAAACTATTGTACACTATTATTCATAGTTGTATCTCATTCTTTTATATTTCTGTTACAGAACAAAGAACCATTTGTTGATGACTCATTTCCTCCAGCTCCTAAATCTTTATATTATAACCCATCAGAGACCAAAGATAACCATGTTGTTCAGTGGCTAAGGCCTCATCAAATTGTCATGGAAGGTGATTCAAAATTAAAATGGGCTGTCTTTCGAACTCCATTGCCTTCTGATATTTCCCAAGGTGAGATACTTCATATATTATGAAAATCTTAATGAAATTGGAATCAATATTTTATTTTAATCAGATTAAATCAGAAATAATCTATATAATATCAGCACATCTTATTAAGTTATTAAGAGTTGCTTTATTACAACACTTATATTCATAATATTTCAAGTGTTTACAGTATCTTGTACTTATATTTTTACATTATCTAATTGAAACAGTTGAGCGTTTTAGTGTAAATTGTCACAATTAGATAATTATGTTGTAAACACTTGAAATATTATAGATATAATTTGTATTTTCCTTATTCTTAAGATAGACTATCTAAGTGCCAAATTTAATCCACATCTAAGATGTTTAGGTAAAATAACTGTGTTGATTAATGTGGAATGAGCCATTACAAGATTGTATGGAAATATGCCATGATTTTTGCATGCACTTATTTTGATCAGATAACAGCGAAAAGTTTACTCTTTTCAGACTGATTTCATTTCCAATGAATGTATGAACAACTGAAAGTCAGACATTATGGCTATCAATCTATTTAATATATTTCATTTGTCTTTCTTTAATTGTCCTGTTTCATAATTGTTTAACATTGTATTTAGAAATTGTAGTAAAACCATCCTTGTCTTTCTTATTCTAAATACGAAGGATTACGTGTATTGTTTACAATTTTATGAGCAGCACCAAGTTGAGATAAATATTAGAAAATATTTCAACAATGCTTGTTAAATTGATTTGTTACATATATTGCTGTTCCAGGTGTATTAGGTAATTGTTGGCTTCTGAGTGCACTAGCTGTTTTAGCAGAGCGAGAAGATCTAGTGAAAAAAGTAATGGTCATGCGAGAATTCTGCCAGCAAGGTGCATACCAAGTTCGTCTTTGTAAAGATGGCAGATGGACCACTGTCCTTGTTGATGATTTGTTACCATGTGATAAACGAGGCCATTTAGTCTATTCTCAGGTAAATACTTAATGAAAATATATGAAATGAAATATATTTTAATATTATATACAATATAACACAAATTATACAATATTATTTAAATAAATTAATTATTATAAGTTATTTTAATATTATGTAATTACAGGCAAAACGTAAACAGCTATGGGTTCCTCTTATAGAGAAAGCAGTAGCGAAGATCCATGGTTGTTATGAAGCACTAGTTTCAGGGAGAGCTATTGAAGGATTAGCTACACTAACTGGTACTTATTCATTTTTAATAACAGAAATAATTTATATTTTTCATAAAAAGATTTGATGAAGAAGTTTTTAATAAATGGTTATTAACAATTATTAACCATTTATCGATTGTCAAACGTCGTACTTGAAATATCATTACTAGGGGGCAGATTTTAATGACCTTAAATCATTGCCAACATTGATCAATAAAATGCTCTTAAAATGCTTTTAAAAAGCCATAAAAGCAAAGAAAAATGATGTAAACAATTTGACCAAAACCAATTCAGTGATCAACTCAAGCTGTTAGAGATGTTACTGATGTAATGGAGGCTTCTTCCTTTTGTTCAAGTGATCTCAGCCTGTTAACTTTTGGATTGGACTGTACTTTACCTGGAAATCTCTATCTTTAGTTATTGCAATATCGGCCAAATTATAGTGGCACTGATAGGCATCACAGGAACCTTAGACGACCACTGAAAACTGCTGATATTTCAATTTCTGAGTGAAGAAATAGAATAGGCTGCTCAGGAACTCTGTGGAGAATTTGTTGCATGTCATATTTTGTCATTATTTGAAGCATATACCATTAAAATTATGTTAAAATCAATGAAATCATTGAGAAATTTTTTTAAAATTATGGAAAAAGGTAAAAAACACACATTAGCTGAAATTGATAAAAAATGTCATAAAAATGGGTAATTTTCTTTTTTCATAACATAAAATTAATGTCTATACTAAAAGGTATTGTTGTACAACGAAAAACAAAGACCTTTTATTAAAATCTGCCCCCTAATCATTACCACAACTTAAATTTCATAAAATAAACATTTTTTTTACTGTTTCTATAAAAAAAATAATATGAGAATAATTTTCTAATAGGAGCTCCATGTGAAAGTGTGCCTCTTCAGCCATCTTCTCTTCCATCAGAAGATGAGCTGGACAAAGATCTGATTTGGGCTCAGCTTTTGAGTTCTCGCCTAGCACGTTTTTTGATGGGTGCATCTTGTGGAGGTGGAAATATGAAAGTAGATGAAGAAGAATACCAACGTAAAGGATTACGGCCCAGGTACTGAAACAAATATTGTCAGTATTGTTCCTTGGATATTAAAAAACAACTCCTTTATCATTTCTTTAATTTATTTTATATCATTAGAAAATAAGAGTGACAGTATTAATTTAATTTGCAATAAGAATTACATCAAAAACAATAGCTGAGTATCTAACAGTGCCATGTAGGTCCTGTATTAAGATATAGCAGTTAACAAATAATAATTTTATATTAACTTACAATAAATTTTATTATTACATACTGTAATAATTACAACTACTGTTGTAATTACAAATACTTCTGAATGTGAAAATCCATTGCACTCAATGTGGATTAATTGTATCCATGACAAAAAGAAATTAGTGTGTTTCCAGCTGGGAAACTTTCTAAGGAGGGCCAACACCCCCTGTCAAATCACACCTTGCCTTCTTCTCTTAATACTCAGAACAACTGTTAGCTTAACTTTAAGCAATTAACTTCCAGTTAATTCTATTGAATTCTATTGACTTATAATCAATGAAGAGTATAAGTCAACGTTGTAATCAGAAAATTTTTAATTATTTTCCAACTGTAAATATATGATCTGTTGTGTCTACCTTTCCAGAGCCCAATTTGACATTCATCAATTATACTTTTATGCAAAGGAAATTGATTATATCATTGTAATGTGTTAAAAGTACATAACTTATTGATAAAATATTATCTTTCAGGCATGCCTATTCTGTTCTTGATGTAAGAGATCTTCTTGGCAACAGACTTCTACGCTTGCGTAATCCATGGGGTCATTATTCATGGAAAGGTGACTGGTCAGATGAATCCCCAATGTGGACACCACAATTGCGAGAAATGTTGATGCCTCATGGTGCTTCTGATGGTGTCTTTTGGATATCTTTTGAGGATGTTTTGAGGTATAGTAAACTGAAAATACTGCATGTCTCAATACTATATTAGTGTATTAAAAATTATTTCAATACTATTATAAAGTCAGTTTTGTTATATCCTGTCAATTTTAAGTTCCTACAGTGGAAATAGTCACATTACTTCAAATACATGGAGGAAGTTCATTTCATTAGAGAATATATATTTCTTTAGAAGTACTTTATTTAGTGAAATTTAAATTATTTCATGCTGTGATGTTTATAACCTAATGGACCAAGTCTATGTTTTTTTAATTTCCATTTGGACAATTTTTATTTTAGAATAATTGTGTTAGTCGACAGTACAAAGCAAAGTAACTTGATTTTAGAAACTTTTTTATTCATTCAGGGACACCCTCATTAATGTTTCAATTCTAGAATGTTTGATTTTCTATCATAGCAAGTAATCCAATCCAAAAAGCAGTATAACAGACTCTCAGCAAGCAGTATTACAGTAAAGTTCTGGCACATTCCTGCAGCTTGTAGTTGTAGGGATGTGTAAAAGGGGTGATTTAAAAGATCCTTTATCATTTTTTAAAATTATTTTGAAGGATTATTTAAGGGGTGAAAATAAAAGTTATATAAGAGGGGAAAAGATTTGAAATCAAAATTAAGATGAACTCATTGCAAACATTCCACACTTTGTAAATAATTATTTTACAAGTAAAAATAACTTCATCCTCGAACCCTATTTTAAATGTTTCTGAGGACCCGTGTTTCAAAATCAGGGTACCCTGCAGAAATGAAATAGTATCCAAATAAGTTTTAGTGGGTAAATTATGGCCATTCACCATAAAATTCAAAGAAAAATGTTGTATTTTTCGTCTCTGGAGTTTCAGTGCACTTTTATAGAGGATTAAGAAGTCATATAAATAGTATTTCTTAAGAAATATTTGAAGGAAAAGTTTAATCTAATTCACTCTTGCATAGAATGCCATTCCAGAATCTGAAGAACAAAAATGGGGAGAAAGGAGTCAAGGGCAGAAACCAAAATAAATTTCTGTGTAACTAAAGGAAAATTTGTGTATTTAAGAACTAATTTCTAAGTAACTATATTTAAGAAACAATGTATTACAATCAATATTTTCAGTTTTTGAGGGGGAGCAAGGTCATATACATTTTTCTACACTTACAGTTCTTTCCACAGGTACACAGTCTTTTGTGTTTTGTTGAAGATCTGGCTCAACATTTAGTATACTCAACACTTATTTGCATTGACAGATACAAAATAAGATTACAAAGTGCGGATCCAGCCAATCGTTTTGGACTGTGCCATCATAGACTTTTATTAAATAATAAACTTTAGTTATTATATTGTATATTATTTTGTAGCATATATGATATTACACAATATTATTTTTTAATTAATTACATAATTATAACATAAATAAATATTTATATCAATTTTGACAGATAAAAGAAGGTAACAAATGAAAACTAAGTCTTTTGGGGGAGGCCATGGACTCTATTAGACTCCATGTCCCCCCCCCTTCAACCACTGACAAAGTGTATACGGGCTGTAAGCAAACGTTGGAGTTTCCACAAAATGAGTATGCATGGCAACAGTTTTGAATTGTTTTGAAAATGTCCAGTGAGAAGCAAACTATGAGGGATAAGAACCCAAATCATAGCTGATTTGCCGTTGCAAATAGTTTTTATTACATTAGAGCAAATATTTTCTTATCAATTCTTACCAAAAATGCTCATTTCTTTCTCTATTCCATAACTTGTATTTGGCTTACGATAGGAATCTCAGAATTAAGAAAATGTTCACTGAATACATTTCCCCCTGTAGAACGTCAAACACAGTTTTTAACTGTTTGTGATGTAAAATAAATAAATAAATAAATTATGAAAATATCACTTGGGGTTAGGAAATGAATTGTAATAATGAAAGTATTAAATGATGAAACAGTAACTCCTTACTACAATAAAAATTAGAGAAAAAAAAACTGTGTTAGAGTCTGTTGTGTTCATTCTAAGAAAGTAACTATTAAGAAGTTTTGAGAAATTAAGCTTCTTGAATTTAAACTAGAACATTTATGTTGCGTGCGTGTTAAATCACAATACATTTTATTTTCATAATTAAGAGTAGCATTAAGGAGGAATGGTCTGAATTGAAAATTTTGCGCAATACTCAAATTGTGAAGTGATTGGAGGATTATGAATTGATTGAAGGAAATATAAATGGCACAATGGCAGCAACAATTTGAGGATGTCAGATCATGATTATGATGGACATATTTAGATTTTGCTGTAATAAAATAAGCACAATTAACATGCATCATTTTTACTTATTTGTGTTTATCATAAAAGAATGTGTACTGTATTTGATGCTGCGAGGATGATGAAAAAACTTCAGAAGAACAAAAAGAAACAAAAAATATTCTTGGGGTCTGTGATTCTAGGCTGAACAATAAATCAAAAAGAATTCAGGATTTTTTTGAATATTGTGTGAAGAACATGGTGTGTCTGGTTTGTGAATTTTTTAATCTTTGATGTTATTAATACTGATGATTTTAATGGCCATACCTTAATTTTGTATATTTGTATTCCATTAAATTATTACAGTATTAATTCAATCTGTTAAGTCAGTGTTTAGAAGAAATAATAGTTACATAATTGATTTGACAATAATATGTTTCATTTTGTTGCAAGTATTCTTTGTACATTATGTAAGAATACAATTTGTGAGGCAGTAATTGCTTATTTGATACCTTGTTTAGGTATTTTGACTGCATTGATATCTGCAAGGTACGATCAGGATGGAATGAAGTGCGGTTGCGTGGGACTCTGCCCCCACTTTCTTCATTGGAACATTTATCCTGTGTCTTGTTAACAGTATTAGAACCCACTGAAGCTGAATTCACTTTATTTCAGGAAGGACAGAGGTTTGTGAAGTCTAACTTTATCTATCCTTGGGTAGATTTCTATTCAATTTATTATTCATGTCAAGAACATTCATGTGGTTTTAAACAAAATGTGCTGTATCCTCAGAAATTATGAAATTTTATAAACATTTCAATGAATTATTTATGAACTTTTAAAATTTTATGAAGGCATGAACATTAACATATTTAAAATAAGTAATAATTGTTGTAGCACTTACACTTGCATGTGTAGCATTTGAAGTTTTATTACTGATTCAGCAAGTCAAACTAAATGTATAAAGCATATTATCGAAGTTTCATTTCCTAATTTGCAGAACTCTTCAGTGCTAAAAGAGGATATTGTAATAATTAAAATACTACAGAAACTAAAAAATAAGTATGTTGTGAATAGACCAAGAGGTTTCAAATTTACTTTTGTGAATTAAAACTCAAATAATTAAACCAGCTGCGTTTAGCTCAGATCCAGCATTGCTACTGTCTCTACAGAAACTCTGATGGTGCTAATTTTTAACCTGTAGGTCGAATTCAACCACTGTCTGGAGGAGAATTCTTGTGGATGGCTGGTCTCATTGGTAGTTTTCCATGGTTTCTCCAATTAATACCAAACAAATGCCCTAGCAGTACCCTAATGAACAGGCCAGAGACTGTGCACAATCTTTCCTGCCTCTTCCTTGTCCTTTCCTATCCCCTTACTCACAGATGCATTTTTATGGTCAACACTACTACACATGATCGGAGACCAGTCGGATGATTAAAGTGCATGTTGTGAAATTGGGAGGTACCTGGAGGGGAAAGTTCTCCACAAGTCTACGTGTAGGTCAGTGCCGGATTCTTATAAGCCAGCAAGGGAAAAACTCCATCATCTCCTGTGTCGAAAAACATTCACTACACAAACGGGACTAATGGCCACAGCAGTTGATGATCCTGGAACCACGAATCAATCAATCAAATAATTAGAAAGCAATCCAACTCCATCTTACAACAGAACTTGACTTATAACATAAAATTTGAAACTTAAAAACATATTTACTACTTTTGCAAAATTTAAAAGGTTAGAACAGAATTTTAGAAAAAACAAAAATCTATAAGTAGCATTTTTACCTTGCATAATTATGAATTTTTTTGTTTTGGTTTGTTCTAACCTTCAGTATTTTGTTAATTTTGTAATTAGGTTTTCAAGTTACATATTTCATGTTATGTGGTGGTGCCATTTTATTGTTTCAGTTTATTTGAATTTTCATTCACAAAGATAAATTCAAATATTTTTTGTCTGTTCATAGCATTGCTTTTTTAAATTGAAAATAAAACTTCAAAAGGAATAAATTGTACTTATTGAATTGTGAAGAACCATTCATGTACCTTCTAATTCTTTCTGGCTTTGATTTCTATCTGTATTTCGATGAAATGCTCAAGATAGTTAATAATTTACAGCAGTTTTAATGTAAATCATAGTACATAAAATGTAAGCTTCAATATATTTTTCTGAAAAGCAGTGTGGAATTCAAGAGATTAAAATCACTAGAAGACAATCCATTTAATCTATTTTGTTCTAAAGCAATTTCCTTACTTAAAAATTATTCAATTATAATGTAATATTATATTGTTTTAAAAATGTGAGTTATTAATTCCTGTTTGAATTTTTCAAGGACTGAGGCCTGCATGAATGTAATGTGTGTAATGAGTGCCTACAAAAAAGGAATAGTTCTCATCATTGTTATAGTGTAGCTTGTCTCATGATTACTCCATATTCCTAAATTATGAAATAATTATGTCAATAGATGTCATAAAACATAGCTTCATAGAAGAACCCTTGGTTCTAATCAAAATAGAAATAGATTTTCTCTTTTATCTTCAATTCATGCAATCGTTTAGTCATAATTATAAGTGTTTATTTACCCCTGTTTCTTTTAATTGTGCAAAGCCCAATGACAATATTAAATTCTCATGTCATCTAAATATTTGTTGATCCATTAAAATTTCAATTTTTATTGTTTGAAGAAAATAATTAATCATTTGTAAAAGCTTTCTTTGCATTTGCTCTTTCAACTTATTAAAATTGAAATTTGTTGAAATTTAGAGCTAATATCATAATGTGACCTAAATATGTACGTATTTATTTTTATAGAAACTCGGAAAAATCTCAACGTTCGCAGTTGGACTTGTGTGTTGTTGTATTTCGCACTCGCTCTCCTGCATCTCCAGAAGTGGGAAGGCTAGTAGAACACAGCAAAAGACAAGTAAGAGGTTTTGTAGGCTGTCACAAAATGCTGGAACGAGATCTCTATATTCTTGTCTGTCTAGCCTTCAATCACTGGCATACTGGTAAGGATATTTCTTTACTCAAACAATTCATTCTAAGAGCTTATAACAAATTTATTTTGTTTCTTATTTTCTGCTATATTTTATGGTCCATTAAAAACAATTTTGTAGAACTGAACATATCAATAGAGAGAATGCTTATGCGTAAATGACTTTGTCAAATGGACTTTTTCAGAATAATTAAAATTTTACATGATTTTATACAAGCCCTGATACCTACTTACGTTTTGTTCTTTGTAGGAATGGATGATCCAGCTAACTATCCTGAATATGTGTTGGCAATACACAGTTCCAAGCGTTTACTGGTAGAGCAGATCTCTCCTCCACCTTTTATGCTTGCAGATGCAATTATTAGTCTCACTCTTGCTAAGGGCCAAAGACATGAGGTATGATCAAGTGTTTTTTTATTAATTTGTTTTGCTTTTTAACACAATTTCATGAATGAAACTTTGTGTTAAATGGTGGCAAAGGTCACTTGGGGAGGAAATGAAGTGCTGCATACTGTATGAGTATTATATAATTTAACTGGTGTTAATGTTGATGTTGTGTTATGAAGCTTTTGATTTGAATTTAAATCCATATTAGAATAATACTTAAATTACATTACCTTCCATTACAGTGATATCATCATTGAAAATTCAGAATCTTATATGCTACTTATATTTGCTTATGATTTAACCTAGAGTATGTTGGTTAAGGATTCATTATGATCATAACCTTGTTGTTGCAGTACTTCTAAGGGAAGGTAGACTGTAGTACTTGAATATTTTCTCATAATATCTGTTAACTTTCATGATCATGATTTTTGGTAGTTTGTTCTTGTTTTAGATTATTTTAAACACCCTAATGAAGGTGATAAATGTTTAGCTGAATCTTTACATACACAATATAATGTAATTATTGGAAATTTTAAGATTCTATTCTTATGTGTTTGAGCTGTGAACACCATTGCCAACTAAATATATAATACACAACTATTGATTTACTAACATGATAATTTCAATTTTTTCAAACAATTTTTGTCATAATCATACGAAATTGGCTGTTTCGACTGTTCTAAAATAGTATTGCCATTACAGTTTGGCACTTCACAACCTGTTGGCAAAACTGTAATGGCAATACTTCGGCACTTTACAATCTATTGGTAGGTGTAGGGATGTAGCATCCTCATCACCCTGTATGCCCTTACCAAAGGGTGGGGAATGCAGCTGTCAGCTGGTTTCTCCTACCTATAATGGAGCAGTAGACTGCTGTCCTCGCCGTTTGAACTCTCCATCTTTCAGCACCTATTATTCCTTCCCTACCCTCGGGTCCAACGGGTGGATCAAGTAACTCAGGGGCTCCTTATCCTTAGGATTTCCTCCCAATTCCTTTCACATCAGGGTAGATGGAACTCTTCACATGAGGTTAAACCAACCCATCTGGGGGGGGGAGGGGGGGGGGAACTCTGAATAAATTGCGCACGTTTGGAGGCAGCCCTCTACCAGCCCTCTACAGCAGAAGAAAGAAGGCAGCTCTCTACCAAACTCAACCTGCGCTGCATCCGTAAAGTGGCCTGGGGATGTATTCTGCTACTGACAAGCCTCAAGGAAAGAAGCCAGGTTAATTCGAACAGCAAGTGAAAAAGGTTAAAGCACATGACAATAATGGATGAAGTAACATGGAATGTTCACAGCATACAAAATAAAGAAATAGAACTATTAAAGATATTAGATGAAAAAAGAACTAATATTGCTGTATTAAAAGAAAACAAAGGGACCAAGAGACATTGATGACTGGAATCTATAGTGGAATGGAACAGCACAAAGAGTAAAAGCTCGTGTAGCGATGTATGTGGATAAGAAATGGAAGAACTGTATTGCAAGTTACACATACACCGATGAAAGAATACTGAGAGTAGATTTTTAAATTAGTAGAGGTAATCTTACAGTTATAGGAGTTTATGCCCCCGAAAAAGGTAAGAAAGAAGAAACCATAAAATTTTATGACAAGCTGCAGACAGAGGTTATAAACCCAAAAGAGGTAATGCAACCCAAATAACTCACTAATTTTAGCTGGAGATGTAAAAGCGAGAGTGGAAAACATGCCTATTTCCAATGTTATAGGACTCTACGGAGGACAAGTAATGAATGAAAATGAAAAAGAACTTAGAGAATTTGATGAATACAATGAACTAAGAATCACCAATACATTTTTTAGCAAAAAGATCATTCATAAATATACTTGGAGTGCTCGGGGACAGCACTTAGTGATATATTATGTAGTTAATTATGTAGTTAATGAAAGGTTAAGTTCAGACGTAAAGGAAACCTGTGTTTTCAAAAGATATGACATCTATTGAGATCACTATCTAGTAGAAACAAAAATAAATAAAAGAGCAAGATGGATGAAACAAACTGCCTCAAAATATAAACCAGAAAATGTAGGGTATAAAGTGATCTAATAAAATCTACTAGAAGACGTTAGTATAAGGGAGTTATATTAGATACAGTTGAATCAGTTCTTGCCGCATCAGAAGATCTGAATGAAGAATGGAGAAACATTAAAGAATCAATAAGAAGAGTAGCATATGAGGCATTAGGCACTCAAAAAAGTAGGCGAAAAAGAAAACTTTGAAAATATGGAAAGATGCAGAGGCAGCAGAGAAAAAAAAGGGTAGCATCCCTAAATTACCTACAAAGCAGAAATGAGCAGACTAAACAGATCTACCACCAAAAAAGGAATAAGGATCTTGGGATAGATATGTGAACATGTTAGAATATGATGAATTCAGAAGACAAAATATAGCCTATAAAGTGTTGAAAACAATGAAATTAGAAGAAACAGATACAGTAGGATTGAATATAATTTCTGCGAAAGAGTGGTTGGACTACTTTGTAAAATAATGGAGTGGGGTTGAAGAAATCTATATGCCGGATGAAAAGAAATAAAAATAAAAGTAGGCATGTTAGATATGAAAGAGCTTGATAGTGCATTAAAATCCTCAAAAAATAGGAAAGCCTACGGTCCTGATGGGGTTAATGAAATGTGGAGGTATGTAACTGAAATTTTGACTGCTCCAACTAATGAGTGAATGAATGCTGGCAAAGAGATGCAATACCAGATGAATAATTAGATTCATTAATTACTCCATGTTTTAAAAAAGGAAATTGAAGTAAATGTCACAACTATAGGGGTATTTGTTTACTTAACTTATGTTACTAAATATACCCAAAAATTGTGAATAACAGAATAGCTCCAATTGCAGACTGCACTCTTCCTCAAGAACAACAGGGGTTTAGAAAAGGTTGTTCAACAATAGATGACATATTTACATTAAAACAATTGAAAAAACAAGTGGAGTTTAATAGAGAAACACATTTAGCCTTCATGAATATTCAAAAGGCTTTTGATAATGTCAACTGATATTAATTATGGAACATTATGAAAGAAGAAAGTACCCAAGTCATCTAGTGCAGGAGGTGAAAAGTAAGCATGGTAATACTAATATCGCAGTAAATTACAATGGATTTGTTTCTGGGAGGAGGATTATAAATTTAGGAGTAAGGTAGGAAGTCAGTCTTTTGCAAACACCCTTTAACACATATCTGGGATATATAATTAAAAGATGGAAGAATGTGGTGCCTTCAGGAATTACCTGGGCAAAAATACATTTTTAATACTTTTTTATATGCTGACGACCAGGTGATCGTGCAGGAAAACAAAGATGATTTGCAAAGATCTCTTTACCATCTGGGGCAAATTTTTATGGCGTACAATCTGATAGTATCAGTTAATAAAACAAAAGTAATGGCTTTTAAAGGAAAAGAATCAATAAGGGCAAGGATTGTGCTTCAAAATATGGTTTTAGAACAAGTGATGGATGTTAACTACTTAGGCTGTGAAGTTACATATGGAAGAGATAGGGAGATCACCAGCAAGATCCATAAATTTCAAACAATATGTGGAACTATAAGTAGAACGTTTAAAAAGAAAGCACTAAAAGAAATCCAGCTAAAATTTTATGATATTATGGCCCTCCCAGTTCACAAACAAGATTTTAGGAGGATGGAATCAGCAGAAATTTTATTTTTGAGAGGAGAAAATCAATGTACATTAAGATTGTACATTAAGAGACCAAATTAAAAATAAAACAGGAACTAGGACGGAAAGAAACAGTACATGACAAAAGTAGGAAGAACAGACAGCAATGCTTGATGCATATTGGAAATGTGCCGCAAGACAGACTTCCCATGCAAACCCTGAATTACAATCTGAGAGGAAAGAGAATCATTGAAATTCCAAGAATGAGATGGAGGCTGAAAGAGGTTGGTATAGGCAATAAGCCTAAGCCGTAATGATAATGATGATGATCGATGATTTATTGGTCTAGATAAAATGAGAATTTGTAATTAGTAGTTGACTGTAATTGTTATTTTTATATATTGTTAATTTATGAGTATTACGTAATTGAATTCTCGCACTTTCCTCTGCCATGTGGGTCTAACCATTCTCCCCAGATGGTATGGCTCCCCTATGGGCAGACATGATATGTTTTCAATATGAACTTGGCCAACCATTACTATAAGCATGAATGATGGCATCATTTTTTGGAGTAGTGACAGAAAAGCTGTGCTTAGATGTTGATAATCTCAGTGTTTTTTGCATAATCAATTTAAAAAATGTTACATAATCTCTTATAAAAAGTAGTGAAGTCTCAGAGTGATCATTTTTCTATTCTATGTTCGGAATGAAATTTTTTACTTATACTATCAAAAATAATTCTGCTTCTTTCAGAGTATTTTCTGACACCACATGGAAAATTCCATAAGGGAAGACAACATTTCTACTTTTTCATTCAAACAAAAATGAACCAGACCTTATATTAATTTGTTTTCATTTGAATTTCATTTAGAAAGTGAAAACTTGTTGTTACAATAAATTAATTAATTCACAAAATGATGGAAATTAAAAGCAGCATGTCAAAGATTAACAATATTTGGAAATTGCTGTTTGTGAGTCCTGCTTCAAAGCATGGACCTCTGATTTAATTTCATGCAAATGATTTTATGTATTATCAGTGCTTTTAATGACCTTGATTTTAATGTGTTTCACGTCAAATGTTAAACTCAGGTGTCAAATGTTCTTTATCAGAACTTGCTAATTTCTTGGTCTTATATTTGATTACAAATTCTTTAAATAAAAACATATATGTAATTAATTACTTTGCTGTTTTATATACACATTTATTGTGTTTTATTGAGGAGAAGATTTTAGCAAAACATTTTGTGCTTAATGCTATTTCATTTCCTATAAATGGTTGCCAAATTTAAAGTTTTTGTATTTTCTTTTTAGGGGCGTGAAGGTATGACTGCCTATTACTTAACAAAAGGATGGGCAGGCTTGGTTGTAATGGTTGAAAATCGTCATGAGAATAAATGGATTCATGTTAAATGTGATTGTCAGGAAAGTTACAATGTGGTGTCAACCAGAGGTGAACTGCGGACAGTTGATTCCGTTCCACCATTGCATCGGTAAATCTTTTTTTTTTTTTAATTTGTGTAACATGTACCAGTTTTGAATAAAGGTTTTACTCTGGGGTTGACTGTGTGAGAAGTCACATCTAGCATACTTCCCTCAAGTGCTAGTAATAGAATTAAACACTGTGAACAGTTCTGTATCTCCAGCATCAGAGATCTTTGAGCTCTGGAGAATGTAAAGTTTGGGATAAAAAATTTTTTAAGATATTTCTTAAAATTGTTGTTGATCAAACCGGTTGCTGTTATGAAAGTGGGATTTATTCCCATTTAATCAAATTTATATTGTAGTTTTTGTTGTTCCTACATTATTAACTTGCGATTTCTAAATTTAAAAAATAGTTTGAACTATAAATTGCATTCTCAACTTACATACGTGTGAAAATTTCTTGAAATTTGCTAGCATTTGATATAGTATACTAGATTTTCAATTGATAGGCTTCTGCCCACTTTTTTGGTTATTAAAATCATAAAAATATTAACATGTACACTTCTGCTGATGTATGTATGTGAATGCGAGAAATATTTCTTGGCACATATATTTGAATGTTTTTTAAGGGCATCAGTACTGTTGTTTATTAGCATTTCAAAAACTAAAGACCTACACCTATATTTTTGTTACTAAGTGACACTATATTTCTTAATCTGCATGAAGTTATTCAAGGTTAAATTGTAGATTTTGTTAACATACCTCAAGTCTTTTTAAAACTAGTAAATTTTTGTTCATGAGGTTGAAGCTGTGAATGTGGACTAGTATAATAATTTGTGTAATATTACTTAGTCAGAAATATATCTTGAAACAGTGTACAAATCTCAGCAACAAAGAAAAGCTTTTTCCATTTGAAACTTTTCCTTTTTGTGATTGATGCAAAGAAGAAGGGGAACATTGAGGCACACACGACAATAAATGGGCAAATACATTGTACTTAACATACTCGCTCAAATCAGGTGTTTCCCAGAGTTCGTCATGTTAGGGAAAGGTCCCATAAAAGAAAGCAAAGTGAAGGTTATTGTTAAAGCGTTATTTCCAGAGGATCATATTTCAGAGAAGTTCTATATTGGATACTAACCAATAAAGTCACAATTGAACAATGTTTGTCTCTTCAAAATACTTTTTATTTCTTACTAAAGTTGTTTTAAGAATGTAGTTTTTTCAGATTGGCCACCTCCTGGTCATGCTAGAACAGTGCTTTATGAAAATAAACTACTAATTACTTATTTTCTAACTCTTTAATTATTGGTTTTTCAGTTATTTTGAATGTTTCCTATGTTGGTTTGTATTTGCATTCAGTACATGCAACAAAAAAAAACAAAAAAATTAAAACCTGCAAACATAAGTGCAGTGATTTTTTAAAAAAGCCTCATTCTACAAAATTAAGATTGCTGTTAAAGACACATTTTCACTTTATAAACCAGATTATTGTATAAAATTGGCCACAAGGTGAAACACTATCACTTTATCTTACTTATTCACAACGCAAAATTTGTTAATAAGATTCCTCACCACTTTCATTCATAATACTCATGCTTCATAAAAAAACAGTACCACTTTTTGCTTATTTTCTAGTATGTTCATGTTCAGTTTTTAGTTATTTTCAGTGTGATACATTCAATACAAAACATGGGTGTATCATAATAGAAAATATATAGTAACATAATTGCAATAAGTTTTAAGAGGATGTCATTTTCCAATATTAATAATACTATAAAATTCACATTGTCAAATATGATCATGTGATTATAATCAGATTCCCTACAATAAGTTTAAACTACTAAAATATACTGTATTTTTCCTCATTTATAATCCAAAATATTTTTGTATTTTCCATAACTTTCGAGTTTGTTCATGGTAATGGTCTTCAAAAAAAGAATTTATTTACATGCTCCAAATAATTCGACGACATAAAAAAAACTGGCCCTTGTTAATTGAAATGCAGATGAAACTGATAACTCAAATTGAATTTTAATATTAATATTGTTATTTATATTAATTCATTTATATTAAACATAAACTGATAAAACCCAGTCTGATATTCTGAACTTCACATGAGTCACCAAAAGTTATTTTTAAATATTTCTTGACATATGGTTTACTTTATCTTTCGGAATGTCACTGCATACAGAAAGCCCTTAATTCCCTTCATAATTCCACCACAAACCCATATCAATATTCATAATTTCCGTTCTCGTAACAATCTGTATCTAACTTCAAGATGGCCTGTGCACTAGGCTTCATTAAGGAAGTCCAGCAACTTTTCATGTTCTTTTTTAAGTGCATGATATCATAAAATTGAAGGAAAAATTGCATTGAGAATGAAATCTCTGTCATTAATATTGGAGATGTATGACAGATTTGAAAATAAAACCTTTTGCAATTTTCAAAATAATGAAAATCAGAACCATACTGTATTTATAAATGCACTTACTTCTGTTGAGCAAAAAATAGAACCTCACAATTAGATTTTACACCTAATGTATTTACTAAGTTTCAGCGCAGAAGCTTCCAATCTGCAAGTGTTATGTATTACATAAATATTGCCATCCATCCGGACAGGCAAGAAAGGCATCCAATAATGCTAAAATTAAGACACTCCTCTGCAGTAAAAATTGCTTAATATCTGTGTGAAGCATGTATGTTGGTCTGTATAGAGCTTGTATCATATGTCATTCAGAGATAAACATTTCACCCCAAAATTACAGATTTTCATCATAGAATACAAATCAACCGACTGATTTTATTTGCATGACTTCATTGACAGTTATACAGTTACCACTTACCCCTCCCACGTAAGGGATGGGGTAGTCCTCTACAATGAACCATCCTCTGGCCATCATCTTCTCCACTCCTTTCCAATTCACTTGGTCTTCATTGACTTCTGTGCAATGCTGATTGCTTCTTGTAGAGCTTTTAAGGCCATTGTTTTTCACATATTCTGTTTAGGTAATCATACCAATTCAGACTTAATTTTACTGGAATCAATTACATTTGAACTCGCACGCATGCACACACACACACACACACACACACACACACATACACACATGCGTACTCAGGGACACACAGTACATTGTCTTATTTCTTTGTTTTTACTTTTCCTCCCCTTCCTTCACTTAGGGAAGAAAATTATTGGAATCACCTCAATAATATGATCTCAAATATTCTGTCACCACAAACATTTTTACATTCCCCTGCATCAGTTGCCTCTATTTCTCTTTATCTCTATCCTTGTCTTCAGCTAGTTTCTCTTGGTACTAATCTATTTGTGATACACATGGTTCTGAAGGATGCTGTTCTGTTGTCCTGAGGACTGTTGTCATGTCGTTTGGTACCATTGCTGGTACAATACCTAACTTAACTGCAGAAATTACTACTGGTGTAACTTCTTTTTTAGCATTCAAATGAAATCGGAATAAGATGTACATTCTTGATTCCTTGCCTCCATTTTGTAGCTCTTTAAGGACTTCTTTTACATTGAGGCTTTGGAACTTCATTATTTTCTTCCAAAATGACTTTAACTCAGAATTCTCAACTTCATCATCATCAACTGCAAGGATTAGAGATTCAGCCTGTTCCGGCTCCTAAAAACTGCTCACTCCATCTTCTCAGTGGTCTTCTTTTTAGCTTGTAGTTCAAGGCAACTTTGATTATCCTTTCGTCAGGCATTCTTAATAAATGATTTTTTTCTGTTTTTCTCTATAATCTTTAATAATGTTTTTCACACTTAAAATGTTTAATTCATTTCTATTTTTTTTTCACTTTTCTTGTGATCAAGAAGTATATAACCTGCTATGATTCGAAGAAACTTCATTTCAGCTGATTCTAATCTTCTAATTTGTTCTTTAGTTAATGTCCAGCATTCACTTCTGTGTAACAGCAAGGGTAGGGCCATTGTTTTGTAGTTTTATTATGTTTTTTTACTTGACTTTAATTTTCAAAGTTCATGCTATTATGCTACAGAAGTGTATATATCTTTTAAATTGTACTTGAACATCATTTTTATAATATGCTATTTTATAGCCAAGGTAATGAAATACATTTACTTGTTCTACTACATTTTTTCCAAGGGCTATTTTTGCTCTTATTGGCTCACAACCCCTAAATGCCATGATTTTAGTTTTGTTTATTGATACATTTATGTCAATTCTCAGAATATCACCTTAGCTTTTATTTTCTCTTCCGGGCAGTAAATCTCTAATTCTTGACATATTCTCTTAAACACTCTTCCATTTTCTTTACTTCTCTGTTACTCTCTCACACTTTTAATTCTTTCTAATTACTTTAGAGCATTCCATCTGCCTAAAGAAGTCATTCTGTCTGTATAATTTCATGAAATCACTTCCATCATTGCATTTACTTGATATCTTGAGATTGGTTTACTTATTTCTTATTTCCATGTTTAGTGTGTCTTTTAATCAATTATACAGTTTGTGAAGGATTAAGGACCCTATTTATAGACAGATAAATTTTTGTAACCTTAATTTATTTCATAACTTTTCTGTGCAATGGTTTCAGAGATTGTGGTCTCCATCCACAGGCTGTAAAATTGAATGCCGAAATTATGAACTGCAAAGTTTAAAATTATTTACGCTATTAATATGGAGAAATTATTAATATATAATATCATGTATACTATACGATATTAAAATGGAGAAATTATGACAGGCAAGAACTTACTAGACACATGAGAACGCACAAAACACAAAACAGATGGTTTGTTCATTAACGTTATTATACAGTTAACCATCACTAGACAAACAAAATCAAGTTCATTATGTGAATGAGAGCAGTTGAAAGAATGAGTTCTGAGAGTCAGGGGAAATTAAGATAAGAAGGGGGAGGGGGAAGGTTTTGAAAGCTGTGGAAAGGAGGGGAAACTATTCTTTCAATGTTCAACATCTATACAGCAAAGCATCATACATTTATGTAAAATGATTATTCTCAATAGCAGTATTAATAAAATTATTTATTTTAATCTGTAAAGTTTCAGAAACTAAATCATGAATATTTCCGGGTTTCAATCTCAAATATTTTTGGATTTTATTGAAAGTGTGGTTGAACATTATCTGATGATTGGACACAGAGTTTGTCTTTTGAGGCATCTCTTTGATGATTTTCTTTTTCATGTAAGAATTGGCTCTTGTAATGAAATCCAATACCAAAAAATGTTTCACATTTACACTTAGAACACAAAATTCACATTTAGAACACATAAAATATTTTCTACTTTGACATTAGTGACTTCATTATGTCTCAAACATTAAAAACCTTCAACATCACTAATTGTTTCTGACAATAATCTTCTCCTAGATTCATTGGTCATAATTTCAAAGTTTGGAAATCTTTCATTCTTAATTACGTCAGGCTCCAATGTTTTTTGGGAAGTACAAGCAAAGTCTAATAACCAGGATATTTCTTTTTGTTTAAGGCAATATTTGTTGTTATATTTAGCTTTCATGGCATGCACAAATGGATCTTCCCTTGATTATAGATTATTAATTTTCCACATCTTGGTTTTGCACTCTTCATTAGTTCTGTGATAATTACCAAAAATGTTTTTTCTTTTATCTTTGTTGTGCTAACAGTTCCTTGCAAACCCATATTTTCACATGTGTAACAAGTTTAATTCTGTATTTCTTTAGTGCTATAAATATTGATGTTCTTTCCGTAATTTTGTCGTAAATATTTATTTTCATAATGAATAAAACTTTCTCTTATCATTTCAAAATATATAAAAGAATTAGCTAGTAATGACATTGTGATTTCACTAAACTGCCTTTTTAATCCTTCGGTAATTTAAAAAATTAACTCTTCATCTTCTGTTTTTGAATTGAGATAAGACATTTGATAAGCTAAACCTCTTGCTCTGATAAGAAAGTAGTCAACTGTTTCATGGTCAGATTTCTCAAGTCTTGCAGTAATTTCATCCATAATAAGGTTAATCTGACCACCTGTGCTTTCACACATCTCATAGCTCCTTTGGATTGTTAATCCTTCCTGTCTGGAGCTGTCCAGGAGGCATTACCCTAGGCACAAGTGCCATCATTTTGACTGCCATTCTGTGACCTTCCCCATGAGGATGGTCACAGAATGCCAGTTGAAACTTTGGTAGCTATGCCTAGGATGTGGTTGTCTCCCAGACAGCCATGTAAATACTGACTCCAAAAGCAGAAGCCTACAATCTAATAATATGTGTACCCTTAATTACAAGATCTAAACCTTTACTACTACCTGTGCGTTCCCACTAGACTTACTTTGTCCATTCATGTCAATCCACAAATTCAGTACCAATTAGCTCCTCCATTGCTTGTAGGTTGTTTTCATTACTTTTAATTATTTTGTATACATCAAGCCAATTTATGACAATATAATACTTGTCCTGTGATAGTTACATTCCCAACATGTCTATGCTCTTAACACAAATTCAAGGTCTTTGAAACTTGACTTGTGAGGTGTAAATCATATTTGTTTTATTTTTTACAGGCAAGTTATTATTGTCCTAACCCAACTGGAAGGAAGTGGTGGATTTTCTATTGCACATCGCCTTACTCACAGGCTTGCCAACTCTGGAGGGCTTCATGACTGGGGTCCTCCGAATACAAATCACTGCCCAACAATTGACAAACAGGTTGAAGGTTTACATTCCCCAAGACTTATTACGTAGCAGAAAATGAATTCTGTACAATGATGCCTGAAAGAATTTACATAGTGTTCTTTACCCTTTTGTATCAGTTAAATAAGATGTACATAAGATGTACCTTTATGAAGTAAAGTGCATGCACAAACTCCATGTACAAATGCAAGGTGAAGTAGTAGTCAAATGCTTGGTTTTCTTACCATTTAACAATATTGTTAAACATTTTCTTTACAATGTGATTTTTATCTTGTAATATTATCATGAATTATGTGAAGGTAAGCATCATTATTCTGTCTCCCATGCAGTTTGGATTGAAATGTGAAATAAGTGAAAATTTATTGTAGAAATTTCAATGTATTATAAAAACAGTCTTCTTTTAAACAAACATTCTTGATCTGCAACAGTCATATGGAATATTTTTTTGTTAATCCATTGAAAAAATGTTCACATTATCAATGTGGATTCTAAATCTATCTCTCATTCTTTGTATTCTTATATTTATTTATCTAAAACTAATAATCTGTTGTTTTGTTTGGCACATTATGTGATACTTTTGTTAAAAATCATTTATAATACATTGAATATTATTATTTGGTGGTTTTAATATTCTGGTATAATGTTCCAAACATTATTATGTAAAATTTTAATAGTTTGCATTGACGTTATTTGTGTTTCTTAGTTCACATAACAGATGTTTTCCAAGAAGAGTATATCTATCTTTGTGCCATATATAGGTATAATTATAATACCCTTTTGTTATATTTCATACAGATGGAACTAGGTGAATTATGTATAACATCACCCAGCAAAATTATTTATATAATTTTGTGTGATAATCCAGTTTTTGAAATACTCCTTTGCTAATGATCATTTACTTGAGAATTGTGTTCCTCTTGAACTTCTTCTGTGATCACTAAGAAATTTCGTAAAGTAAGGCTCCGATACATTCTAGTGATTGTAATTTTAATATTAATTTGCTTATCCTTCATGTTTTTGTTTGTTAATGAAGCCAATATGTTGATACAATTGTTAACATGTATTACATTTAAACCTATTTATATATTTATATAAAAATTGTAATTGCTTGCAACATTTCAAAGAATTACTTTCTGTGCAAATACTAACAAATTATTAGCTTAATGAATATACGTACTCAAGGAATCGTAGAAAATGTTGAATATTAATGTGTAAAAATTAATTGTTGACTGAATCTCTGAGATTGTTTTAAACTGAATAGTTTAATTGTGTTACCTGATTACCATTAATAAAGGAATTAAATGTTCCATTAATAATTCTAAGATTGACTCAAATTTGATTGTAATGATATATGAAACATTGATTTTGAGACACTGTACCACAGGTTAAATGTTGGAAATAATATTTTTGGTAACGATCAGCCTTTGCTGAGTCCCCCCCCCCCCGCCCTCCCCCCAAAGATACAATGAAACTTGAAAGTATTTAAAAATTCAATTCACATAATTCTAGTATTTTGTGTCAAATTATTGCTATGATGCACTTATTTGTGAATCACCTGTCATTTCTATAAGAAAACATTTCAATGTTCTTTCATATCACTTCATGAAATTATTGAGAAAGAAACTTACAAAAATCCAAGACGGACACAGGATGAGACTGGGAGAAAAATTAAGGCTTCACACAAAATTAATCTGACCTCCCCAATGGAAATGTGAATCATGACAAAATACAGAATCCAATAAAACATCACAATTAAAATAAATTATAAATCAGGTTTCAATGGAATGTTGGATCAATAACAATTCCTTTTTGGCCATTGTTCTGAAACATTTATTTCTCTCTAGGCCTTACTAATCAGGTGAAAGAAATTTTATGCTATGTTGGTGCCACTTGTTAACAGAAGCCTACCACAAATTTATCCACCAATTCCACTCTCAAGGTCTTGTTGGTAGCTGGTTATAATGTGTATAAAATAGTGCCAAATGTTAAATATGTAACGCCAACTTACTATAAATATTCAGTAATCAGATTAGTTTGCATAAATATTAATTTATTTGATGAGGGAACAATAAATGTTCTATAATGTTGGCTAAATAAGTTTCATTGTTCAACTTCCCATGAAAACCTAATTATCTGTGGTCATAAAAGTGAGAAGAATCAATTTGTCCTTCAATTAATTTTGGAAATTTTGCTAATTAACATCTTTAATAAATATATAATTCTACATAGTAAAAAACATAATTAGAAAAAGATATTTATGAAATAAACTATGTACTAAAACACATCCTTTTCTGTAATTGTATCTGTAATCTTATTAAGTAGAAGGCATTCTAAATTTTTTCTCCTTTTTATTATTTCAATTAATAATTTTAGATCATTTCCAACTGGTAAAAAGTCTCTCAAAATGCTTTGGTTTAAGAAAAAATAAAACCATTATATACTAAATATATTTTATAACAAATTTGCAATAAAAGACATATTAGAATGAATATGTAATGTGTCTGTATGCATCTAAATAGTAAGTGCAAAGAGAACATATTTCCCTTAATATTTTTGTAGTTAATATAAATAACATTATCAAGCACTTCCAAAAAGTGCTGGCCTTTCTGGCATTTGCCTGATGTGCTGATCATCAGTTTGGTCCTAAGAGAGCTGTTTAGGAGAAAGATATTATTGACAAGCATCTAGGGATCTTGTACTGAATAAGAAATAGAATCTTTTTACTCATTGGCTAGGTGAAATTAAGGCATGAATTTTTAAAAAAATTCTCAACATCATTTTAAAAGATATTCTTTTAGTGCTGAAGTATTGCTTAAAATCAGTATTAAATGAAGAAAGTATCAACAATATTTTCCATTATTCAACATGCATGTCAATTTTTCTGGACATCTAACTCAATTTCATGATGAATGCTTGTTTTTCGACAGGGAAAAGTTACCACTTATTTTATAACTATAATTTTTTTTGACGGCTTCACAGCACATGTAATTGGATGTTAAAAATTGCCTATAGCAATGAACTTTCCATAAATCTACATTATGAATTTTATGACTATTTTCCATGCACAGTAGCCAAGCTAGAGAAATTTATTGCTCAAAAAATGAAAAGTGGATTGGTAGACTTAGATCTTTCAATTAGGCCTATGAAATTACTAATTAATAGGAGCCTTGTGTTTGTTGTAATCAAAAGAATTATTTTACAATTGTTACTAATTATTGCTGCTTTATTATAAATTCACAAATCATTAAGTTTTTTATCATTTCATATAAATTTTATGTTGTTAATATTTGTAAAAGGTCATTTCTTTTTTCTTTTTTTTTTCCCCCATGAGAATGGGATTGTGACAACTGTGTCAAAAATTAGAAGGGGGAGGAGATCACAAACAGTTAGTTATATGTTAAATTAAATGTATAAGAATCTTGTAACAAAATTGAACATTTTTGTGGCCTTAAAGTTTTGTAATAATTATTATTAGTAGTAGTATTATTAATTAATAATAATTGGGTTTTGTTTTGTTTTTGGTGTTGAAGCTTCTTCAGATGAAGACGATACTTGATGATTGGAAAATTTAAACAATTGTGTAAATTGTTCAAGTCGTCAACTAACTTCATGACAGAGGAAGCCAACTCATTTCAACTACGATAAAAATAATGATGATAATGATAATTATGTCAAATTATAATTATAATTGAAACTTATGACATGGGGGGATGAGCCTTGCCATATCAACACAAACTTACCCAACATGCATGCCCACGACAGGATTCATAACTGATCTTTTGAGCAAAGTTGTGGTGCTCCCTCTTTAGCAACCTTGGCTCCCCAAGTTGGCTAATGCATGTACGATGATACATTAACATTTTATTAGGCCTTAGGATACTGTATAAACCATCATTTACACATTGATTCTCTATTGGATTTATTGATATCTTGGATTCATTGATGGCAGTGATGCCACAATGACGAAAGAGAGCTGATGTTTAAAAATGAACACAAGACAGTTATTACAAATTAAGTTATTTATTTAAAATAAAATTAGAAATAAATATTAAATAAAATAAAACAATTTTTTTGCATTCAATGTAGATAAAAATTTGAAAACATAGATGTAATGTTACAATATTATGACACATGTATCAGCCATCTGTGAGCCATGTCATGAGCCTCATGGTCCATTTTGAGATTGAGTCCTCTTGAGATTATAATGTCCATATCAAATTTGTTTTTAATTAATAACTATTGTCAAACTGTAAGCAAATATTTACATTAATCAGAAATGTATCCTGCTTGTTGTGGGCTAGATCATGTATCTTGCTTTTAATTTTCAAAAGTGGATTAAGATTTTTAAGTAAGTTACTTTTAATGAATTCAAGGAGATGGAGAAAATAAAGCATTTATTTCAGGGGTTTTAGATTCAGATTTATTTAGTCAAAAAAACAGTAAAAACTGTATGTGATGTATGAGGGAGAAGATTATCTGCACACGTTTTCTTGAGTTTAAAATCTGAAGTTTAAAATAAATAAATAATTTTTTTTTAAATCGCAAGATTAGTAATATTTGAAAAAAATAGACATTTTCATTTCCAAGTTATAGAAAACTTATTTACATCAGTAAACGAATTGCAAGTATGATTTTTTTTTCATTGCTAACAAAATGGGGGAGAGTAAATTAATGAGTTATTACAAAGGGAAAGGGTTAAATAAAACAAACCATTTTTTTAAAGGTGCATAAATTAGATCAGTAATATTTTCTGATTAATAAACTAAATTTTATCGCAATATTACATATTTTATTGTATATTACATGCATTAATTACATGAGAAGAATATAAATCATTATCACAGTTTTTTTGTTCATTTATTGCACTACTTTACCGCTACATAGATTGCAAGTATAGTCTGTGCTTCTCACTATTGCCTGTATTGGGTATCTAAAATGTGAGTCCCTCATAAAAGAAAAATGACAGAAAACATCTGTCTTCCCCTTGAAAAATATTTTCATGTCATATCATTATCGTCTTTATGACTCTTGTAATTTTTTTTAACTTAGTGAGTAATAGTTTTTTGTTTTATTATTATTATTATTATTATTATTATTATTATTATTATTATTATTATTATTATTATTTTAATTCTTCCAATAATTTTGGTAATGTTGTAAGACATTAGAGAAACACTTTTAGAACAAAATCTATTACAAATTGATAACTTGTTAATTAGAACAAAAACTTAACTTAAGAAAAACTTAACTACAAATACAAGTTTATGAAAATATAATGAAATTATGTTTGAATATTCTTTGATATCACAAATGAGATTACTTAAATATTTTTTTGGCTGGGGATATGATAGATATGGTGGGTACTTTTCTGATATTAATTGTATATTTTTATTTCTGAATATTTTGAAAGACTAGTGTTTGACAGTTCTTTCTAAAAAAATATTTTTTGTTTGACTCCTGATTTTTTAAAAATGTTTTATATCCATTTTATTTTTAGTATGATTATTTGAAAGTAAAAAAAAAGTTGATTTAATTTTTAATAAAATGATTGAACTTTTTTGTACCAATAGATGCCTCTTGCCACTACATGATTAGACAGGATAAGAATAGTGTAAATTTTGATCTGAAAAATACATGCACACAAATTTATAAAAAAGATAAAGAATAAATTAGTTATTAAAAACTTTGTACAAACTTCAAAGTTGAAAATACCATGGGTAATTGTTAATTAAATGCAATTTTCTATTAAAAATAAGTAAATTACAAAAGAAAGGAGTTGTATAAACTTTTAAAGATGGTAATGAAAGATTTTTCTGATAAAAAAGTAGCATTTTTATTCCTATTTAAATACAAAATCTCATCTTGTTAGAAATTTATTATGAATATTCAATTTCATTGCTTGAAAATTTAATTTCGTTGCAATGATTTAACATAAAATCTGATAAAGGGAAAACAAATTTCCTGAAAATTATTTGATATGGTTTATTTTGTTTATCTGGGTATGAGAAAGACACAGTAGGCTGTGAATTATGTTGTTCAAATATTTTTAAGATTTAATTTACATTATATTTGTCATTTTATTTTATTAATTGGTGATTTAAATGATTCTGAAAGATAATTGAATCTTTTTGTTGAAAATCTCTTATTTGTCATATAACTTTGAACTTCGTTGTGTAATTATTCCATCCTTGCTTGTACATGGAGATAATGCTGTAAATACTTATTTTAAGTCTCAGGCTCAGGTGTGTGTGAACTAGTCTGAGAATTCCTTCTTTTATGAAGTCACCAGCTGTTAGTAAATAGAAAATGTATATAATATTAATTGTTTGTGAAACATCAGATACTTGCCAGTCACCAAATACTCTGTGATTTCTTTCCTTTGGAAGGAGAAGTGTATGTGCTCACTCATGTAGTATTTTTTAAACAGAACTTTCATGTTATTTCTAGTGTAATATTTATAACTCTCATAAAACTCATTGATTGAAAAGGTAAGACTCGTTTTTTATTTGACAAAAAGAAACCTTGATGATGATTGTGTGTTTGCAAGAAAGTGTGAAGTATTAGTGGTGCTCAAGGAATTATGAGTGTTTAAAAATCAAAAACTAGACTTATGGCAGTGTTTGCTTACGGTCTACCAATTTGTAGAGAATAATATTTTTTACATAAAATTATATGCAATATAAATAATATTGAGAATTAGGTATGTTGAATAAAAGTGGATTCAAGTTTTGTTTGTTCACATGGAAGAGCTTCTTAAGAATAGCATTTCAATTTTGCTTACAAATGTACTATATTTCTTCTCATTGTCAACTTGAAAACTCATTTATTAAAAGTTTATTTTTATGTATTTTACTTTCTAATATGTATGATATATTTTATTAATTCTCATGAATATACCACCTTATCTGTGTGTTCATGTATAGTTTACAGATTAGAATGTCATCATTACATTATTACATGTTTGGTTTGGCTGTTGAGTGAAAATACTTGTTAAATCCATTGGCAGCGTAAAATGAACAGCTCATTTGAAATGTATACTATAAAAAATGGCTGGAAATACTATTAAAACTTGTTGAGTACTAAGGGGCCAGTGTTGAAATTTCAGAGCATTTTTTTATATATGTGGATTTTTCAGACAAGTGGAAATTCGCTTGTATTGTAATGTGTGTACTTGGCCTTTTCATTATGTGATGTATGTGCTTGGAAATTAATCTCTTGTATAACATGAGTTGTGTCTAAAATTGAAACATGATATACAAGAGATAAAAATAAAGTTCTTGTTACTTATTTTAATTTTTTTTCATGGATCTTGAGGCATTCACAGTATTATAGATATTAGATTACCTACCCTTTTTATTCATCCATTCTAGATTTAAAAAATACTAATTTTAATAAGCAATTAAACAATGAAAAATGGTTCCCTAGTGAGAATAAAGTTGATTTTTTCATTGCAAGTGCAGCAGTACATCAATTAAAAAAGTTCTGTTTCTATTCTGAAATTGTAGTTACCTTGTGGAGCATTATATTTTAAAGGTACTTTTGGGCTAAGTGTAATGAAATAGAATGATAGACAGAAAGTCTTGTTAACTTTCAATGATTCTGGATCTTTTGTATCTTTTCAACTGAGAAATAATTAAGAGCAATAACATACAGTTCATTATTTGGGTACAGTTCTATTGAAAAATTTATTTAAATACTTGGATGTATTAATATTTTACATTTTATTTATTTTATTATGAAAATTAAATAAATTGACTTAGTATAGAGCAAGTAAAAGATGTAATTGTTTTCATTTCTTCAAGAAATTTTTTCACCAATATAATCCGAATATACTTCTTAGCCCAGAAATAATACATGAGAATTATGTAAACATTTCTGCACTAATGAGGCTTATTCATTTAGAAAACCTTATAATCAAATTAAATATCCATAAAAAGAGAAACTCATCATATTTTTAAATGTATATTTCATTTAAAACAAGGTAGCAAAAAAATACAAGACGAGAGACACTTGATAGATATTGAAAGATATTGATTGACAGATATTGAAAGTTGTTCTAAGAATGTTTTGTAGCAATCTTTTGTTTTAATTTAATTACAGAAAATTAAATTTACATTTTTCTTCTTATCTGTACATATTAATAAATCATTAAATTAAATAATTATTTTGATATACTGTTTGTTTGTTGTTGTTTTTTCTTTCTCTCTCTTTGTTTTGTTTTGTTTTTTTGAAAGAGTTAACATTTTCCCCTTTGTCTAGCTTATTCTGAAATTCAAAAGTCAATTGGTCAAATCATTTGGTAGGAATCTTGAATAACAGGAGCCAGTTCTATATTATAGAAATACTAAAATTATATATTCATTTGATTTATCAGATAGAAGGGAATCTTGGAGTAAGAGGAAAAATTATATTACTATGATGAGAATGCCTCATTTTCCTATTTCATATTGAAGGAACCCCAGTATATATACAGTTGATTACTGAGAAATATGTTTTGCATAAAAAATGAATTAAAATTAAGATAGTGCATTTGTAAATAATGTGTGAATTTAATTTCTTATTTATTTTGGAGCTGTACGTCAAATGAACATGCACTTTATTCCTTCAAAAATCAAAATGCATTCTTTCTGTAGGTATTTGTAAAAAGAATCAAAATACAAAGTTAAATTTTTATTGTTATGTTGCAAATTTTGTGAAAATGTTTCAATATAAAACATTTCTCTTACCATTCACTGCAAAATGTTTTGTCAATTTCTTTAAATACATATCCTTTTCCTTCCCCAATGCTGAATTTTATGAGAAAATTTACTTGCTTGTATTAACTTTGGGTTTTCGCTCATTTACTTTTTTGTCAACTATCTACTATTCTACATTAAGTTTTGGTATGCTGAGGTAAATGTGGTAAGTTTTTCATATTTCAGTACATTTATTCCTCTTTTATTTGGAAAACTCACTTCATACACCAAAATATACTCACAAAATGAATTAATTTTTGTGAAAGTATTGAAAAAAACGGTATTTAAAGTCGTAAAAAGATACAAATCAAGATCTCTCTATCGCATTTGAGATTATTCTTCTTGTTTTATTAATTACACTATTGTCAATATCATAATAAAAATTGATTTTTCACAAAGCAAAGAGTTTGTATTATTAATTATGATTTACATATTTTCATTTATATCAAGCCCAAAATATGTGTATTCACTAAAACCCAAAATGTGTATTAGTGAAACACCATTGTAGAAAGAAATTTGTGTAATTATTATGATGCCTTTATATCACATGATCTCTTCCATGTGAACTTCCACAATTATTAAGATGGTGTAATAATTATAATAATAAAAAACTGTGATGATGTCTTGTTTTGTAGAATATTGTGTATAATTTTATATAGTAGTGCTTTTGGAAATGGTAGACCAATGACATACCTATATATTTAAAACAGAACCTAATGTCTGTATTTACAATACAATAAAGGTAGAACTAAAGTAAAAGTCAATTTTTGTCATCTGTTTACATTATTATTTTCATCTAAACCATTCTGTGTTTTGTACTCATAATACCCTTGTTAAAGACAGTCCAATCAATTGATAAATTAACTGTTATTTTATTTCCGAATCATAATGTGATTAATGAATTCCTATAGCAAACACAATAAACACCAGCAAAACAAAATTTGTAGGAACTGCCCAATGGTACATCAAAACACTGCCACCTTCTTTGCAGATGAGAACTGTTCATTGAAAAACAAATGTAACAATGCTTTTGTGGAAGATGCAATAAGCTGCAAATAGAGAAAAGGAAAAATACAACCCAATGTTGTCCTGTTTTCTTGAATTTTGGAACATAATTTTTTTAAAAAATTTAATATTTTTCATTCATTGTATTTATTTTTACTCATTGTTCATAACTTATTTATTTATAGATAAAATGACTTTGGTCAATTTGTCTAGCCAAAGTCAGGTGGATGTCATTGCTGTGCATTGAGAAAGCAAGTTCACTACACTCTCATCTTTTGTATCATAATACATAACTTATTTCTGCCTAGCAATAATAGTTCTGATTATGGAAATGGCTCCTGAAGTCATAGTTCCTTTTCTGACAAAAGGATCTTTGGAGTAAAAAAAAAAATTGGTTTGAGTCAAATTTTTTTAAATGTGCTTCTTAAATCATTTTCAATTTTGTGTAACTGTTCTCTTTTATTTCTTTTTCCTCCTTCTTCTTCTTTATTCCTACATTATTCGAAGGAAGAAACATTTGGAACTTCAGAGCATTGAATGACAAAACACTCTAAGTCACATTTAAGTCTTCAGACCAAACTTTGTACAAAATTTATCTGCAATCGAAGATAACCATAGTCATGTGTAAAGGGAAATCCCCCCAAATTTTGAATGGGTCCAAACTGGCCCAAACCGAGTGTTTTTCCCGTTGCCAAGTGTAATATTCTCTCCTTTTAAATGATTATCTGGTCCTCGGGGTTGCTGCCAGGTCTCACAATCCAAAGACAGAAAAAAGAGAGTATGGTGTGGATTGCTAGACGGAGAAGGCAAATAAAAACAGAGAGTATATTAGAGGGTAAGGTATATCAGAAGGTAAAGACTAGAATTCAGAATCTAGCTCACTCGAGTAGCACTGCAGCTCGAGAAATCGTGCGAATATTAATTTAAAAAACAACAAAACAACTTCCTCTTCCGTCACAAACAATTACAAGTAATTCCTTTTTTTGTAATTATTTGTTTGTTGTATAGAAAAATACGAAACTATCCTGAATTGGTAGTTATTAAAATTATTTTCTTTTTGATTGTCTGGGCAGGTTATGTGATAAAGCTCGCAGCACCCGATTCATGTTGGTATATCTGAGAGATATTCAACTGTTTTCTAATACGTCAACGTGTCAAATTGTTTCATGTGGGCTCAAGTGAAATAAGTGAATGTTTGTGGACATACAGTGAATGGTAGTATTTTATATTGCATTTTGTGATAATTCGTTGTGCAACAATGGTTACGGAGGGTTTGTTGTTGGTAAGTTAAAATGAAATAATGGTGACCGAAGTATTTCAATGCAGTACGGTGATGTTTTTAATCGTGAAGTTAATGTAAGGTTTAAGGTAGAATAATGTAATGAAGTGTGTTATTTTTAATTAATGTGTAAACTGTTATTTTAAGAGCTGTTGTTATTTCATTATGTAAATTTCATTAGCTTTTACACTTTGATTCCGGGTGTGTTTAGAGATTTAATTTCTATTTAGAAGTTTATTAGAAAATATAAATTTTATGCCAAAGGAACATGAAAGCTCCTTAGAATTTATTGCTTCCTTAAAATCTCGAGGTTTACTGTAAGAATAATTATTGAAAATAAGCTGCATGAAATGATGGAGATGGTATTGAATGTGACAAGTGTGCATAAGAAAATTATGTACTATGTGTAATGTTTTATTCTGTGTGTGTTTCAGGAGCCAACATTGTACACAGTGAAAGGAATTGCTATTCTAGATAATGATGGAAACAGATTATTAGCCAAATATTATGATAAGACCATATTTCCCACTGCTAAGGAACAGAAGGCGTTTGAAAAGAATTTATTTAGTAAAACACATCGAGCAAATGCAGAAGTCATAATGTTAGATGGACTAACTTGTGTTTATCGCTCAAATGTAGATCTCTTCTTTTACGTAATGGGGTCTTCTCATGAAAATGAGGTAATTTTTTTATCATATACTTTTTTGCCAGTGTACTTTAAATATTTTACTTTATTTTTAAAGAGCTATGAATTTAATTCATGCATAAAATATTACAGAAACATTTTTACATAAAAGAATGTGTAATTTATATTGACATTTTTTACCATCGTTTTATACAAGATTTTATGTTAAAAATTGATACATTAAAATCTGTCTAAATTGGAACTGTATAAGCTGGAAACCTGACTTAATTGGAATATTACTCTGGCCTGCGAAGCTAAAAGGCATTTTACACAACTTAAAACAGAACCTGTCCATCACGGAAACAGTTTGTATTTTCATGTCCTTCAGGGAAAAAGTCTTTATAAAACAATATTCCTGTAAATGTAATGCAATTAGCGGAGATGCATTAGATATTCTTAATGAAGTGTATGCATCTCCAAGCCTGTTTTAAAGTCTCTATCCCTGTGACACATGATTGAGTTGTGACGGCCGCACATTGCAGGAATTTGCGGCAAAACATTGCTTTCGAATTGAGTGTTGAATTTGATCTTTGGGTCACTTTTCTGTCAAGGCGTAGGGGAATTCCCTCCCTCCCAACTCTGAGCATGGGAAAGTGTACTAGCATGGCTTCTAATCACTCCTCTCCCTGCCCCGCATTTAACGTCATAATCTCTCAGTCAGATATGCATTGCTTAAGGCCATGTGAGGGCATCAGAGAGTCATAGTACTATGGGCTGTGATGCAGTGTGTGCTCAAAGAGGCAGCAAGCAATCCCAATGCAGCCACTGGCTAATGAGGTAGTGTGTATTTTTATGAGTTTCACAACCATTTTAACAATGGTTTTGAAAACCATAAAACTTCAACCATAGATGTAAAGGTCAAATTTTTAGAAGCCAGAAAAACACAGAAGCTGTCTATGAAGAATGTTTAATATTAATTCATGAATGATTTTTTTTTTCATAAATATTGCGTATGTTAAAGTATTTTAATAATATTAAAAAAGTCCTGTAATTTACTACTTTCAGGACAGGAATATCAATATCACCAGTGTAAAATGGACAAACATACATAAAACAGAAACCTCCGTAACTGGGGTTTTTTGTTGTCCCGGTCGATTCCACCTTAGACAGATTTTACTGTATATCAGTAATCCTTATACTTTTGAATCTCTCCTCCTTCCCTTTCATCTTACTATTTTGTCTTGAAATCTAAGAAATCAATGCTAAGATGATTAATTTTGTTTCCTGATAATCCTCTCCAAATGTTATTGTTTTGTTACTAGCAGATGAAATTTAGGTGACTTATGATCTTTTGACGCAGGTCAAATTTTGTTCTACAGACCTTCGGTTTGATTCTGTAACCTTAAATAAGTTCATTTTAATGAAAAAATACTCGTTTTCATACTATCTAAAATATATGTTTAAAAAAATACTTTTTTAAAATTGCTATTCAATTTTTTTTAAAGACAAGAACTCTGTTTTAGGAAAGAATCAAACTGAAGAATTCTCAAAGTTAGTGATTCTTCAATTTGATTCATCTTGTGATGTAATTATAATAAAAGGAAGGGAAGTAAAAAGAGAAGCAAAGGAAAGTAAAAGAGTAGAATTTTGGGAGAGATTGGTTCTCTTTGCATTTTGAAATAATTAATTTATGTAATATTGTGAAAAATAAACTTGTTTAGTGACACTTCACAGTACTTGTTTAATGCAAGTCTTAAGTCACATAGTTACAAGACAAGCAATTTACGTATTTGGCTGTCCGGATTTTGCCCTGAGGAAAGTCTCAGCATAATGGCTGAAGCTTAGGAATCAGTCCCTAGGATGCTATATTGCCTGGACAGCGAAGTAGATACTGACTCCAGCCATGGAAGCCTGCACATTATGAAGCAGTTTACCTTCACCAGCCTCTGTTCAAAACTATGCTCTCCTAAAAAAGCACATGAAAGTTTTACAGGAGACTACCTGAGTGCCTAAGAAATTACAACTGCACACATTTTCAAAACCAGAGTCAAGCACATCCTTCTTACAAAATTATTCTAAAGTATTCTAGTGTTTCTTTGTATCTAATAATACTCGGAGAAGGTTCACTCAGAGATGCTTCCAGTAAAGGACAATGAGACATATAGCTCCATGATGGTGGTTAATCAAAGATCGGTATAGAAGATCAGGGCCATCAGATTAAGGAGCTTGTAAATGAACTTAAGACTGCTTTTGCCCTTCTTCAGAGACTCAGGGATGGGCAGTACTTAAATGAGATGTATTTAAATACATAAAGTATGTGTATTAAAAAAAAAAAAATACTCAAAACACTTCAAATACAGATGAAGATCGAAGAAAATAGTTTAGAATAAGGATAGATTTTTTTTTATTTCATTCCGCTAATGAGTACACCTCATTGAAACAAAAATAAAAGCTCCTTTCAGCTGTTGAATTTGGATTCTCTTCATTAAATAATTAAAAATGCTGGACAGTTATCCGACAATAAAAAAAAAGCATTTATTCATTATAACACTAGTTTATGTTCACACATTCCAGTTGAATGACTTTTTTCCTTTGCAGGTTTTATACATTCGCCGACTAGGGGCTTATTGTCAGATGATTTGTTTGAACAACTAGTCATTTGATTAGGAAATACCGTTTCTTTGTGTTAGGCATATTTTTGATATCATTTTATATTTGAAAGTGTTTATACGTATTGTTAAAATACATTACAACAGTTATTGTTCAGAAATTTGTATGACTGTCAATTACTAATTTATTGTAATTGATAGTTACAACATATTGTTACAATAAAAAATATTCAATACAAAATTATTATACATTTACAGTATTTTGAGTATTTGATGTTTTTTAAATACATATGTATTAGCACATCTAGTCCTAATGTATTTTATGTATGCATATAAATACGTATTTATAAAGTATTTTGCCCAACCCTGCAGAGATCAATAAGAAAATCTCAGTAAAGTAAAGAGTAAGCGCACTTCATCAGAAAGCTGAGAATTGGGCAAACATGTTGGTGTTTCATAAAGTATCTTTTTTAAATTATATATGTTATTTAATGTCAATTCATGTTTGAATAGAAAGTATACAAGTGTCAATAGTTTATATTACAAACATAAAAAACTAACACTTTGTCCTCTGTGTGACAAGGTGAATGCCACTGGTCCTGATAAATAGAATTAACTGCTGCATTTGGGTGTTAGTAAAAAAGAGTGGAGAGTGATTGTAGAGGATAGGAAAAGATGGAATGACTTAATTGGGAAAGCTAAAACCCACAAAGGGTTGTAGAGCTTATGGAAGAAGTACCTGCACAAACTCACCGATGGCTGGAATAATGATTAACTCCCCTATCATATTTTTTCTTTTCTTTCGAACTGTAAACTTACTCTTCGTATATAATTGTACTCAAAACTCAATGAAAAAGTTATATTGAACAATATAATTGTTTTTGAAATATTTATAAGTTTCTCAAAATTGATAGTTAAGTTGTTATAATCCAGAATCATATATTATTGTCGTATTAAAGAACGAAATAGAGGGAAAAAAATATTTTTAGCATCTGTTGCAAATTAAACTGTTAATTATTTAAAAGTAGTTAATTAAGAAAATTATTCCATGAATTTGAACAATGTGACAAGTGATTATTGAAAGAGGGAAACCAAAGAAAACCAAATATTTCATTTCATTGTTGATTAATTTGACCAACTAATGAAGTTGCTTTTTGATTAACAAGTTGGAATATGATAGTCTCTACCTAACTTCAAAACTTGTCTTGTCATACATTGAATACAGAATGTTACAGGATGAATTGAAGGTCTTGCAAGAGAAGATTAATACAATCAGTATGTTTCTGTGAATTCAGTTTTCAACAGGTTATAAAAATCAGGAATTGATTTGTAATATGTTGTGGTGTTCTTTATAAGCAATGTGTTTTTCAGAAACAAAAACATGTTGATTATTGCTATTTTTGATCTGTTTCTATAATTTATGTTTATTTTCAGCTTATTTTGATGTCAGTTTTGAATTGTTTATATGATGCTGTTTCCCAAATCTTGAGGAAAAATGTAGAGAAGAGAGTTGTTCTTGACAATCTGGACATTGTAATGCTGGCAATGGATGAAATTTGTGATGGCGGGTATGTTAAAAATATTGATTCCTGTCGTTTTGTGCTTTACCATCCATAATAGCCAGAGCAATGCTTAATTTGTATAAAATTAATATTAGAATTGTGGATCAGGACTGTTAAGGTGGATCTGTTTTAATGATTTTGGATTGAAGGGATATGGATTTGCATCTTGCCTCAAGCTTGGATGATTGCTTTCGAGTTGTGCATGACATGGCTTTCCCAACAACAATGCATTACCTTTTAACCCTTAACCTTTCATTTCCTGGCCAGCATGGTGGTGCAGGGGATTGAAGCATTGCCTCCAGAAGCATGCAGTACATACAAACTCTGGTGGGTTCATATCCCGTGTAAGACATGGAGGCTAGTTGTGTTGTGGCATGGTACAAAATTATCATTAGAGGCAGGATTTCCATGCACTATCAAATACTAAAATATGCATGCAAACATGTACTATCAAATAACCAAATATCACGGTGCTGGGTAAAATTGGACAAACATGCCCAATCAAATATTATTTTACGTAAATTTTTAGTTACATTGCTTTTTGTAAAAGTGAACAATTAACGATTTTTCTAAACTGTTCTTTGTCAAACTCATTCCTTTGTCACAAAAAAATGTTTTTGAATGCAGAAAATGACCTTTTTACATCACAGGACATAATTGGAGAAAACTTTAAAGATAAAATCTAAGGTAATGTAAAGTCGAATTCTGCATTTTCTAATTTTTCACTGCAAATAATGTTTACATTTTTACATTTTGGAGAAATTTCAAGTCATAATTTGATTTTAACACTTTATGTAATTTCTCCATAGCAGTCCCACCCACATCCCCGAACATTAATTCCCATTGTCTTCATCCATTTTAATGACTCCTAGAGGAAGAGCTAATATTTCTAATTTCTGAAGATAAGGAAGATAATATTTTCTTCATGTGTATGGGATGTCCTGTCTTGAACATTTCAATAGAAATCCTTTAAATCTTGGATTTGCTACTTTTTTGAGCAAACTAAAAACTTTGTCCTTACTCAATCATCACACAACTTCTATTTAAAAATTGGGCAAATTTAAATCTTGATTTTTAAATCCTAATCTTTTTAAATCTTGATAGCTGATTTGTACAGTTTTTTGGGTGCTGAATCCACATCTGAACTCTGTTCATTTCAATCACCAACAGTTTAGTCACAATTTGATCTAGTAAGATATGGGAAAATATGCTAAAGATGGAATAAAAATGAAAAGTGAACGACTTTTAAAATACCAACAGAACTTTATGGAAAAATAGAAGACAGCTTTATATTCTTAACATTACATTCTACAAAGGCCTTTTGTGTCCATTGATGTTTATTTTCTGGTACTGCTTGTCAAACTCAACTCTGTCTGTGAAACCGCCATGCCCATTAATGCAAGATAGTGGAAGGGATCACAATGTAGAAATATTTTGCCGAAGCATATACTACCCTGTTTGTCGTCCTAATAGATTCTCATTCTAACATCCTGCATCTCGTACATTTCTTGAGACTCAAAGCTGCATTTGCCTAGCTATACAGAGAAAAAGTTAAAATGTGAACAAATGGTGGGTGATATGGCATTTTTAATGTTAGTTTTGGAATCAAAAAGAATTAGGTGAGCACAAACAAAAAGTTTTTAGGTCGTTGGCTTGTGTTATCATTCATTGTGACATCTTTGAATGAAACTTACTTATTGGGACTCCATTCTAATTACAGATGTAAATGATATTTGTGTGTTCTGTGACATGGCCTTTTCTTTATTGAATCAATGTGTGCCTGAGACAATTATTGTGGGAACTACCCCTCTTAGTTTTCGGTGGAGGTTATTTGGATATCAAGTCTGAGAAGTATTCACAAGTGAATTTAGCATAGGTTTCTGAGAACTTTAGCGTACAGGATTGGTACTCTCATGACCAATCTATGATCATAACTACAAATAGTGTTATTCTTGAGAGAGTGCGTTCGGTATCCTTTGATGACAGCAGGGTGATTTCTGATTGCATGTTCCTATTCAAACAAATCGGTAATGAGATCAACAGCCCTGAACGTCTGTCCTCCATGTCCTACAGGGTACCTAGATTAAGCACGAGGGTTCACTCCCTATTCATTGTGAGAAGCTGTAGGACTAGGGTTGATGGAAACAGCACCTTTAACCTGATTCTTAGAAGTGCTAACATTCTTCTTAGTGATGTTGACATTGTTATGATCTCCAAGTCTTAGTTGAGGAATAAGGGTAGGAGACAGTTGTAAAGAAATCCATAATCCTCACTTAAATTTTCTCATAAATTTGTTTCCAACATTTTTCTTACTGTTTCATACTAATTTATATTTCTCATATATTATTGAATTTTTTCTCATACATTTATATTTTTCTTATATTATTGTTTTGACTCATGCTTTTATCTTTTTTATATCGTATAACATTTTCAAAATTTATTTTGTTGTATTTTTCATTATGTTATACTAAAGAAAAAGAGTACATCCCATTAATACTACTGCTACTACTACTACTACTACTACTACTACTACTACTACTACTACTACTACTACTACTACTACTACTATTAGCCAGATGGTGACTGAAATTATCTGTTCATTGTCATTCTTCAAGCTTTATCCTATCCATCTGGATTTTGTGCATATTAATTGGCTAATTCATGAATTCGCTATATTTCGGACTTATGTTGGAAATGACATCATTTTGCTTAATTTTCAGATTCAACTCTTTTAAAAATGTTATTTCTATTACTTTTCAGTATCATCATGGAAGCAGATTCTTCAGCTGTAGTGCAGCGGGTAGCATTGAGAACAGATGACATTCCTCTTGGAGAACAGACAGTTGCCCAGGTGAGTTGTGGATACAAATAGGGGAAGAAAAAAAAAGATAAAGAAAAACATTGAGAATAATAGTTTCTTAACCCTTGATTAACTCTGTTGATTTCCAAACTTTGAAATTTACCAAAAAAAAAAAAAAAATAGAAAAATTGAAATTTATTCATTGCTGAAGTCCATATGGTTCTTTTGTTTATCAGACGCTATGTACAAAATTTTTGTGTTTAATAGTAGTGGTAACAAGTAATGGATTGAAACCTAAAATAATTAGGTAATGTAATAATGATTTATGTGTTATTGTGAAATGTAAATATAAGGGTATTAAATTTTCAATCTGTGAAGACAACATTGTTAAAGAGATACCATTCTTTTCTATCATTCTAATAACGCAGAAACTAGAGATGCTACTACAAGCACATAATTTTTCTTATTATTGGTAATAGTAACGTTATTTAATCTTCCACATTCCATTCTACTAACACTTGAGCTTCACTAGAAAATATCAAATTATATAAACAACTGTGATTTTGGAAACAATGAACTTAAAATGAGGAAGATATGGCATGAAGAAAGGAGTCTCTAGCTTCAATATCGATCAATGGAAAAGAGTTTTGAGAAAACGTACTTTTGCAGTTCCTAAAACTTGTGTTTAAGTATACTTTCTCTATTTGAATAAAAAAATTAAATAACAAATTTGGAGCCATATTTGAAATAAATTGAAAATGTAGTGGCCTACTAGGGCACTGCCAAAAATTAAATGATGTATTTCGAATTCATGGAGCTTCAAGTGCAGCCAAAAATGATTAAAGAATAGTATATATTGTAAAAAAAACAAAACATGTAAATGGTTTAGGGACTTGCATTGTTCACAAACAGATAGGACAATACAGATTATTGAAACAAATTATTGAAAAACGGATTCAAATGATTGAAAAATGGACTTGGATTATTGGAAAACACTTTTTTGGAAACAAGGACTCACAAAACCAAGAATCCTGACTACATTATTTATTCAAGAAAGAAATTTACTTATTATAGGGGCCTGAAATATGCACTTTTTGGTGTCGGGGACTGCAAAACAAGTTTTTTCTGTTGAAAGTTGGAACTTTTCCCTGCAGTAATATGGTACTTTTTCTTTATATCACTTAATGAATTTCTGTATTATGTTTCTTGATAAAATAAAACTAAAACTGATTGTCTAAAATTTGATTTAAAAACTTTTATTAAGATACTTTCTCTTTACCATGCAAGTACATAGGAGATGAGTGAGAGTGGTGGTGCTACAAAATGGCACAGACTTTCTTGTACGAGTTAGTTTCCTAATCTTTTGAATTGGGGCTACCTTTTTGGGTTCTTTCCCCCCTACCCCTTCTAGCTTACACATATTGGTGCTTTAGAGACCATTCAGGGCGTTTGTAACAGCTACTGCTTTCCTGGTGACTATTTTCAGTGAAGAGGTTTCTCGCACTCCCCAAACACCATGCCGATACCTAGGCCCATCTCATTCAAGATGAAACGTAACACAGCATTATATATTTCACGTTCCATTTGAATCTGGCCCCTTTTATGGAGGCTAGAGTAGTAAGCCAGTGGCTTCGATATCTAAAGTTAGGTTGAATATCAAAATATAGTAGTACTATATAGAAGTATAATTTATAAGATTGAAATTTGATAAATTTCTTTTCTTAATTAAAGAATTAAATTTTTTAACTAAGAATTAATTAAAGAAATGTTCATATTAGATAATATTTTTCAAATTTGCTTTGCGATTTTAAAATATAATTTGTGATCTTGAGAGTTACTATGCAACCCAAGCAAGGATGTGAACAATGTGTGTATTTGTATCGTGATTGAGACACCAGGAAAGACTACAGGCTCAATTGTTTCTTGTTTTGTTTTCAACCATTTTCTTTCACTGTATCTTTAAGACCTGGTTGACACACCCTTTTAACTAACTATTTTTTTGAGTTAGCAAACGTATGCATGCACTCAATGACTTTGGTGGCTTAGTTGATCTGCTCATGCACACATTTGCTAAAAGTTAAATGGTATGTTAAAAGGGAATGTGTAAATCGGGTCTAGCATAATGTTGAAGAGGGGAAGAGTTAAGATTTAAAAGTTAATGCTAATATTTTATTCATGGAAGATGGAAACATCAACTCTTTGAAGTTTTAATTTTTATTTACTATTTTTTAAACTTTTTTTGTAGACTCCATTTGTCAATTGCCTTCGTACATCTGTAAATGTTAATGGGAAGTTATAATTTTATCAAATAACAAAATTAGGAAAGCATGGAACTAAGTTGAACCTCATATTCTTCTATTGTTGCAGTCATCCTTCTCCAAATTCACTTTCAGCTTTTCAAAAATTGTAGCATCAATTCTAGTCATTTCATCAGAAAAGTACTGTGCAATGTAATGTATTTCCTTGATGAAAGACATTGCAAAAACTTGTATGACTTCTTTTTTCTAGTCATATGAGAAACTTTGTGTTTGAGTGTTCTGTTGAGAACGCAGAAGTAGCACAAAGCTTCATTACATCTGGCAGAAATAAACAAGCTTAGAATATCATCTAAACAAGTTTTTCAGCATGTACAGTATTGGCCGTTAAAGGTTTGTGAAGTCAACAAACAAGGAGTTCTTATGTTTCATTTTTAACAGTTTGTAGTGTGACAGATTGGAGAAATTGTACATATATTATAGCAATTTCGTGTATGCAGAAACTTAATTTTCTTTTGTGTAGTACCCATTGACACATAAACCTATTTAACAATAGGTTCATCATTTCCTTAAAACTCGATCATTTTCTTTTACCTTGATATTGGTGCATGTCAGCCCTAATTTTCATGGAATGAATTACTTACCATACATTGCTACTTTTTATATCTTCAATTTGGTACCCTTTTGTCCTATTTGTTTTATTCCTAACACTTCTTCTTGAAGGTTTTGATAGTCTTCTAGTCATTTTATTTTGCTGTTTTCAAACCATGAATTACTAACTTTGAAATGCTGATATTTAATTGTGCTGTACCTTTCATTTATGAAATAAATGACATTGACAAATTGATTTAATATATAATTACAAACTTGCTTCTTAGGCAATAGAACATAAGCATAATGCATCTTGCTATTCAACTTCCAAGTATAATCCTTTCATGAGACTTGGTAGGTAGAATATGTCAAGAACTTGGTAAAATTACGGTGGTTTGCTGAAGATCAACCTCTTGATATTTAAATTTCTAATTACTTAGTTCAGATGAATCTTTTACTACTCTTAATTCTGATTGTTGAAGCACATACAACAGCTCGATTTTTTAACCTTTTTTTAATTTTTTTAACCTTGTTGACAATTCTCTGGGTATGACATTGTGGAAGCAGTGGATGTGATTGAACTGTTCTGTTCCAGGTTTTGCAATCGGCCAAGGAGCAGCTAAAATGGTCACTTCTGAAGTAAAATTATAAATAAGTCAAGAATGAGTATTTTTCCTCATTAAATAATAAAAATTGTAATTTAAATGAATGTAATATAAATACAAAAAATTATTATACTTTAAGAATATTAAATACTTTGAAAAGATCTTTGCAATTTTTGAATTCCTCATTGTATCATTATTGAACATTTGCATAGGTCTACCTAAAGAGAAAGTCTATCAAGGGAATTGTGAGGATGTATGCTAAATATGAAACAAGAAATATTCTGAGAGTATTGACTTATACTGAGTAAGCATTTTCAAATTGCCTTGGGGCATTCAGAAATGATTGGAATTTCATTGTGCTACAAATACATCCTTGATGATAGGGATTCATGATGAGAGAACCAACTTAATAAATAGCTTAATAAATAGGGCCCGGATAATCATGTACTAAAAATTGGAAAAATAAGTACATATATGTGTATTACAATATGCAGTAATGTGTACTAAAAAGAAAGAAATATGTATCATTAAATCAATTCTTTTTTATTAAAATACTTTTATCTTAGGGTATATTGTTCTGTTTCATAATATTAAGGCCCAAATTAAACATTATACACTTCCTAATCCTATTATTTACTATGATTTCCATAACAATAAGAAACGAATATTTGTTTCAAATTTTCAGCATTGAAACTTTTCCTATTATCTTGTAAGAGGGCGTTGTACATCACACGAGTCACTAGTGCATATTTAAACTTGCACAGATCCTCTGACATGTGGTCAATATCCAGTGTGACGTGATTGTCTCCTCATTGCATTGTACTAATAGCACTAACTGTTTCGAATCCGGGTTTTCTCCAGAACTGAAGACCTCAAGACTTCACTAGATCGCCAATTGATCTTCAAATGATAAATGAACAGTTCTTAAAGAAGCAACTGCCAAATGGGCAATTTCAAGGCTGTCAGAAAGTTTCAAGGAAGACGTCTCCAAAGATTTAATTCAAGTGCTGGCTGAAAAATGGGACAATATAATTTTTCAGCTTTCAGCACCAAGCAATTGATTTTAAATGCCTATGGACTGCAGCATCAGAATCTAATTAATGTATAACTAGTATGTGTAAATTCACCATTTTCAGCATTGTTGCTGTTAGAATTAATCAAAGTGCTCCATCTTGTTAATCCTTTTTTTTAATTAGAAATTCATGTATCAACTTTATCATCCTGACATGTAATCACTTCTGTAACCCAGTGCATGCTCCTTGTCTTATTCCTTGACCTGTTGTTATGGCTTGGGATATTTGTTCGTTATGTTTTATTTTCATTCTGGTGTTCAACAATTTGTCGTATAATGAAGATCGCATCATTACATGACCTTCCTCTTCTGAATCCTTGCTGTTCTTCTTTTCATTCTATTAAGTTTTCTATTACTTGTGTGATAGTTTTTGTTGTTAGTTTAAGCGTTGTGTTCAGAAGGTTCATTCCTCTATAATTGTTTGGGTCTAGCTTGTCCCCTTTTTTAAAAAGGGGGATTAGAATACTCGTTTCCATTCCTCTGGTATTTTACTCTGCCTATATATGTTTTGTATCAGTTTTACTAATTCTTTATGTAATTATTGCCCCCCGTATTTTAACACTTCGTTATATATGCCATCCTCTGCGGGTGATTTCCTATTTTTTAATTTGGGTATCGTTTGTATAATCTGTTCTTCTGAGATCTCATAGTCTTGTGTTAGTGTGTCGGCTATATCCAATTCTGGAGCCTCGTTATTGTGAAATAGCTTACTAAAATATTCCACCAATACACTATACAATACAAATATTCAAACAATACACCAATACACCAATCCACAATAATATTCACTACAATATTCCACAATATGTGTTATTGATTTTTGTTGTGCTTATAAACTCATTTGTTTCGGAGCGTGTATTTCTTATGAAACGCCATATCTGTTTTTGCAGGCTGTAAAAGTCATGTTCCATTCTAGCAGTAAATGATTCCCAATAATTTAGTTTAATTTTCCTGATCTTTATATTTACTTTATTTCTTATAAGTTTGTATTCTTCATAGTCTTGTGATAATTTAGTCTGTTTGTATTTGAGAAATGCTTGGAGTTTCTCCCTAGTTATTTCTTTAAACTCTTCTGCATACCATGGTATCTTCCGCCTTTGTTTCTGTTGACTTTTTCTGTTATTTTTTCCTAATGCTTCTTCCGCTGACTTGAGTATATTAGTTTTTATTTTTCCCAGGCTGTCTCAATATCATCTTCTCTAATTTCGTTGTTATTGATTCTTTCGTCTAAGCGATCTCTATAAAGTTTTTGTGTTGACCCATCTTGCAGGGATTGGATATTAATTTTTGATATTGTATCCCTGTTTTTTTTTCTTTCTTTCTTCTTCACGTTTAAGTGTCGTTCTTAATTTGGCTAGCACCAGATTATGGTCACTTCCAATATCTGCGCTTGTTAAACTTCTTATATCTAAGATGTTTGATGGGTGACACATTCTATTCGTTATCACATAATCTATTATGGTTGTCCCCTATTATTTTCCCATGTGTATTTATGTTGATCCTTGTGATCGAAGAAGGTATTATTTATTCTTAATTCATGATCCTAGCAGATCTTGATGAGCAGTTCCCCATTTTCATTTAGGTGAGTTTTGATGAATCTGTTTTTTATGCTAGGGATAACGTTATTTCCAATTCTTGCATTGAAGTCGCCTGCTATTATAGTTGTCTCTGGATTTGTCTAGTGTATAACATCTTGTAGGTTCTCGTAGTACGTTTGTCTTTCGTGTGTAGGCTTGTTATTTTCAGGGGCATACACTGAGATTATGTTTATTGGTTTTGTTTTAGATCTTAATTTCATTGTAACAATTCTTTCTGATATGTACTTGTAGTCTATTATCTTATCGAGATGTTTATTGTTTATTATGATTGCTGCTCCTTCTGTTGCTCTTGAGAATTTTTGTATTTTTCTATAGATAAGTGTGTAAATATTTCATTGTGTTATGCCTCTACCTTTTTTTTTTCGTTTCTGAAAGGCAGCATCGATCTACGTTGTGTCTATCTAATTCCATTAGAATTTCATGATAGCTTTTGTTCCATGATCTAATATTCCATGTTCCCAGTCTCAGTACGTTTCCTTTTTTCCATTTCGATGTCCTTGTTTGTGCCATGTTCGTCTTATTAATCGTATTCTGAGGCTTATCCTTTGTTCTATGAGCATTTCTAACCTTTTTACCCAGGGCAGGTCGCTGGCCTCACCCAGAAACCCTCCTCCTTTATCCGGGCTTGGGACCGGCAACGGCGGGGTGGTGAGCTACGATCCACCCAGCAATAACCACAGGCGGAGATATCTTTTGTTCGTGTGAATATAAATTAATACTATTATATATTTGGAGAATGATACTATACCATAGTGTTTAATAATTACTATTATATACTATGCGATCTATTTGCATTTGTTTGCCAACTCTATCAGTGTCGTATTATTTATTAATTTATAATTATTTTATTTTTGCACGTACTACTTACAAAGAATATTGTAAAGCTAAAAACTCATCTGATATGTTCATGAATTTACTGCAAACCTATATACAACGAATTTAATGCCAAGAATATATTTTCATTTAAAGTTTTAAATAATAATATATTGCTTGAAACTATTTTATTTTCGCACCAAATGTTCTACAATTTCAAATGAGTTTAAAAAAATTATGACTGAGATGTGTTAATTCGAAGAGAAATTGTGGTATAATAGTATTACATAACCATTACTAAAGGCGAGAATGTATGTGCTGGTTTAGCACCACTAGTTTTTAATATTTCGGCTTCATTTAGTTTTTATTATTGGATTAATTTTTCTCTCTCTCTTTTTTTGTTTTTGTGTCGCAAATCGGCCATCATTGGTCCATAATTTCCCACTGGAGCTCTCATGATTATCGGGGTATGTGCTCGTTACTTTTCTATTGGGGGATCAGCATTTAATGCTCATTCCATTTTTACACCCCAAGGTTGTAAGCCCTCAGGGACGGGGTGAAATGATGTAGACACACACGTACAGACACACTATTTATTATTAGGATTGAAGTGATAGGGAGATGATGAGGGATGAAAGGTCTAGGATGATGGGAGATGGTAGGTGGGGTAGTGGGAGACGTTTGTGGGATTTGTGGAACCATCCCAGCATTTGCTTTATGACCCAGAGAAACCACAATTTTATTTTTCACTCTTATTTTTCAAAATTATTGCAACAATTTGATTGTTGTTATCCTGAAATGTTTTTGTAGTACCCATGTACTTCTAGATACTGTTTTTTAAAACACTTTAAATTAACCTACAAGACAGTCTATATCCTTTACACACGCTCGGTCTTTCTGCAACCTTCCGTTGAAATCTCGAAATCGATTTCCCGCAACATTACATAACGTTCTCTATACTGCGTATATTACTTCGTGTAAGCATGCATGAAAAAGTAAAAATTTGAGCCCTTTTTAAGAAAAATTTGTTAAGGTGTTAAGTTATTATGTACTCGCAAACGTGAATTCTTGTGGCTACATAATGTGTTAGAGGAAGTACGAGCAATTTACTACAGAGAGGTTCAAGATTGATACCAGGGTCCCACAATACGGGTGTTTCTGTCAAAAACCACCGATTTTAGTAGCAGCAATACATATTTATTTCATGAGTAAGGTAAGGAGGGGAAATATGTTGAACAGTGTTATGTTACAAACAGCTGAATAACAAAAATTAAGCAAAAACGCTTAGGAAAATAATATGTCCCTAGGAGGGAATTATGTTCAAAAAGGTGATATATTAAAAAAAAAAAAACTCAATTTATTGTGCAGAAATTCAACAAAAAGGAGGTACAGCTTCTTGTGTATATAATATTATACAATCACAATATTTTCAGCTGCATTTAAAGAAGCTGAAGACATGTGAAGACAATGTGTAAATTGTAATGTTGATAAACATTATTACTTAGAAAAGTGTAATTAAAAGTATTTTCTGATGATAGATTCAAAGAAAACTTGTCCAATTAATAATAATTTCCTAATTAAATATCTTAAATATAGCATGAGAACATAAGAACGTTTTGATAGTGGAAAACAGTATGTTACGAGAAAAACATCCAAATGGAAATTATTTCTGTAAAATATCGTTAGGTAAGTCACAGCCAATGTACGAGTCATTCTTTAAACAATAAAGCAAAGAGCTCCTCCAGAACGGGTCTCGAGCCAACAAATGGGGGTTGCCGATAATGATGAGAAGGCACCTTGCGCGAGTCAGAGCCACATTCAGTCGCCGCGGCGAGGCCACGAAGCCCAGAGCGTGGCGCAAGTCTGTGCTGAGTTGCTTGGGGCTGCTGCGAACTGCAGACAGGATGATGACGAGACGCTCCTGGCCTTGAAATTCCTCCACTGATCCGATTTTTGGAATGGGCATTTTCATTCTTATTAAGAGGGAGCGCAGTTTCTGGACCTACAAGAAAGAGTAATAATTGTAAGGTTTAATAATTGCAAGACTTTTTGATTTGTACTCGATCTTTTGGAGGGGTGACATTAAAATGTTTTCTGACTTGATTGCGTAATCCCAATTTATATTCGTTCGGCCCAATTTTATTACAAATTTCATTTCAATAAATTAACAATTAAACTTAAAAACACCATTGTCAATATTTTAATTTTATATCCATTGTCTTAAACAAGAACGTCATTGAATGCATTGTTTCTGACAATTACCAGTTTTATTTTAAACATTTATTCTAATCTCACACGGAAATCACTCAATTCGCTAATACTGAACGTAACACGTGGAGAAAGGGGAATAATTGCACTCATTGTAAATAACATACTATTCTTGCAATTGAACGTACTATTCTTGCGATTATACCCAACCTCGTTTCGTTAATTACTATTTGTACACTCGCAATCCATACACCCTATCGTCACTTTAATTTATTTTATCGATAATAAGTATTTATCTGTACCCTCCGTAGCTGATTTGTATTTTCTTATGGCTTATCCCGTGATATCAATGAAATATTTTATCTGCGTTTTTCAGCTTTCTTAAGATGGTCCTAAAGTACCCAATAATAAATAAAAGGTAATAAATAAAAATTGAAAGGCATGAAAGAAATTATAGCACAAAAAGCGTGAACTGAAATTGTTAATACGATAAAACTCTAGAAAAAACGCAAGTTAGATTTCAGTATTTTCATGCTATAATTAATTTACGAAAACAACGAATGTAATAACGAATGACCTACCAATCACAATAATTCAGGGATCAAGTGTAGAATACGTGCAAGAATAAGTATATTTAGGTCAACTAATCATATTCTCTAACCGTTCAGACAAATTAGAAGAATTATGCTATTATGGAAAAATATCTGGAACCTTTCTTTTGTACTTTTAGACAAAAAAAAAACTGTCTATAAATAAAAATCTAATCGTGAATTTGCGTATTTTGTCGGTATTGCTATATGGATCTCAAACGTGGTTAAATGTTAGTTCATTTTTATGTGCGAGTATTTATGATGAAATACAGTATGCTTTGTTTTTATACTGATTTTTATATTCCTACGGTGAGATATTACATATCAAAATATGCCTGTTATATAGTGAAGTAAAATCTGTCTATGCGCGAGTCGATTGCAACACCAAAAAATCCTGTTTAGAGAGGTTTCCGTTTAATGTAAAGTTATCCATTTTATGACAATTGTGATACTCGGATTGACATTTCTCCCCCGAAAGTAGTAAATAAAAATAAAACATTTAACGTATTCATGGAAGAAATCACCAATAAATGAATAATAAACCCTCTTCATTGACAGCATCTAAGTTGAAAAATACACAATACACTGGAAGTATTCGGACAGCTTGCTGCTCTTTCAACGGACAATGGGTCACAACCCAGTTCCATGGCTTTCTGACACCTTCGCATGGCCTTGAGCAATGCGTATCTGGTCGAGGAGTTGATTTTCAGCGCGTGGAACGGAGGCGCGTGATAGAAGCCATGCCCGAGCACCTTCCCACGCTCAGAGTCGGAAGAAAGGGAATTTGCCTACGGCCTACGCCTTGAGACAAGCGACCCTAAGGTAGAATTCTAAGCTGAAGCTGACGCCACTCTTCTTCAGTGTCCGGCTGCCACGGCCAAATCGCGTGTCACAGGGATAGGGAATTTAAAACAGTCTGGCATTCATTTCATTAAGAACATCACGCCTCTGTCTGCCAGCCAATTGCATTAAATTTTGCGTTGGAGAGGTTCCGATTTAAGCTCTTTAAAATGCCATTTAACTTCACGGGCCGGAAAAATTTTCCGGTTAAAGCAGGTTTCCAGCTTGTATATGTTTCGGTTTAGACAGATTTTACTGTATAATATTATATTAAAATTCTGTCTAGAATCAAACTTGAATTTTGGCTACAGGTCGAAACAACTGTCGTCACCTTAGGATACGGTACAAAGTCTAAGCTAAACATTTTAGTTGAAAAGTTGTGTTAAAAAATCTAAAACTTGATGCCAAATCCCCTTTAAACTCCTAAATAATTAAAAAATCATGCAAGCTAAGTATTATTTTCATACCTGTCTCTGATATGGTGTAATCACTCCTACTTCATCTGGGTTCATGCCAGATTCAAATATTGACTTTAAGTAATTGGCAACTTGGACAACTTCTTGAGGATTAAACCACGATGGGCAGGAGCCGTCTTGGTAGTTAGTTCCTCGAATCCCATGAAATACTACTGCTGGTGGTAGTTGAGTCTTCCTCTTCGGTAAAATGTTGGCCATTTTCCTTAAAGTGTCAGCTTCTAAACTTGTTTCAGTTGATACCTAATCAAAAGTATATTTCAATGTTATTTTCAACATAATTTATATATATATGAATTCACATAGAATTTCAGAACAAAAGGTCACGAGTATCTTCCACGAACTTTTCTTTATACGCAGCGTGGAACGAAAAGGATTACGAAAACTAACATTTCAAGTCCACATGTGATATTTAAACTAATTACGCTACAACAGCACTTATTTAATCACATTTGCAGACCGTTATAAGCAAGGATAATTTCGCATTTAAATTGTACATACAGAACTAAAGACCATCCAATATACCGCCTTACGAATGCTTTCGAAACTACGGTATCATTACGTAGTCCATCTTATGCACATATGTACTGTAATGCGACCACCCTCAAGGCTCTATTTTTATCTCGCGGGAAATATTTTCTTTGAACATGGGACAGTGTTCATGAAGAGAGCCTGGAATCGCGCACTTTGAAGGGAGTAGTGCGGTTTACAATGCGTTGATATGCGAGGGTAGCTGGTTGGCAGGTTGTTAGTGATTGTGGGCGCGTCAACTACTTAGGTCATTAGTGCCGTAAGTGAAGCGCAGGTTTTTTTGCCTCGGGAGGTGGCGGTCATCCTCGCTGGATGGCGAGATCCGACGCCAACCTACCGTCGGCTAGCGGGGTTTCCTTCTACCGGGTATCTCCCACCAGTGGGGCACCGCCCCAGCCGAGGCAAGCTGTAAGCCACCCGACCGGTCTCCCGGCATGGGTGGTAGTATAGTGCGTGTTAGTGTAAGTGTGCGTACGAAGTAAGGATAGGGCAAGGAAGAGGAAGGAATGATCACGCGCGGTCCGTGGCTCGTTTGTTAGGATACTGCTCCGGCATTCGCCAGGTTTTGATCGGAGAAACCACGGAAAATTACTAATCAGAACAGCCTTTCGACAGAATTCTCCTTTAGGCAGCGGCGCAATTCGACCTAACGGACAAGTTAGTACCGAAAATCCTGCCGCAGTCGGAACTCGAATCTAGGACCTCATGGTCAGAGGCACGGCAGTGACATCAGTTGATGCCCTGAGCCACCTCTCCCGATCGCCGAGGCTAGCCACGGACGGGCACATGTGGATAGCAGATGCTTAGGAGAATGCAATGCCGCTCGGAAGTGGCACCTCCGAGTTTCAGTTAAAAATTAAAATTCGTAAGGACCGAGCTGCCATTGAGCGAACGCCTCCGCTTCCGCCCTTGCTAGGCCAGTGGCAGGAGCCGCCGAGTCGGGAGGCGAGGAAACGCTCGCTCATTAGTCGTTCGGCGCAGAGCGCGGGCCGCTCGGCCTTGCTGCCCGCCACTTGGGTCTCCGCCTGTGCGTGCCGCCGCCGCCGCCGCTCGCGACTCCGTCTCGGGATGTCGGACGCCTCCGGTCGTATCGTTCGCCGACGCCATTGACCCGGACGCTCGCCGCGGGAATAGGGCCATGGAGCTCCTAAACAAGCAGGTAGGGGCCGGCCTGGATAGCCGGGGGCTGTAGGGCCGTAGTCGAAGGGTCGCGGGTTCCAATCCCACCTCGTGCATGGATGTCGTATTGTCCTGACGTTTCGTATTCCCCTAGTTACCCCGATGTAAACAATCACAATGCTCGCTACATGAGTTAAAGTTAAAAAGCGACCTTAAAAAAGGCAGGAAGCGGACTCGAGTTACCGACCAGGAGCGCGATTGCTCTCTTAACCGTGCCTGTCAGGCAACTTCTTGGCCCGTCTTGCAAAGATGCAAGAATGACGTCAAAAGTGCATATATATTGGCGGGGAATGCCTGTAATATAATATGTTTTCGTTCGTTTAGTAAATGGTTTCTGTGAACACAAAATAATTGTGCCAGTCATTTTTGAACGCCCCAAGTGCAATACAGAAATACAGAAGCACTGAATGAGACATTTTACAGCTGGTTGAAAGTATGTGTGGATTCCTTAAAAAGCCCTATAAATATTTTTAAACGACAACTATTAGCTCTGTTGCATTCGGCACGTGTGAAAAACCTGCTTTAAAACATATTTAACCAATAATATGAAAGTGGGAATAGGAGATAAATTATTTCTAATAAATCAATCTAGGTTCTAGAGAATGCCCTTATTCATCATTATTCTGAAATTTCATTACAGTACTTCAATGCAGATCTCCATTAGGAAGTATTGTACCTGTGGTTCCAGTTGTCCATCATAAAATAAGTCACTTGGAAGTTTAAGAATTTCAGGAAGTGATCTGTAATTCATAACAAGTCTTGTAACCAAGCGAGGATTGTAACCCCCATATTCTCTATATCCCTGAGGATCTCGTTCATAAGGGAACCGTGCCAAGAGCCTTGAGAGGAAAGATTCTCCTAGTCCATAATGAGATGCAACTCGTGATGCTACCACAGGTCCTAACTGCAGTGGATCTCCTGCTAAAACTGCTTGTCCCCAGCCAGTGTGCAGAAATCCTGGAACAGATAACATTTTTATTTCACATGCTCAATTTTTGGTACGTTCTATGAATCATAATCACCCACGTGTTTTCTCGAAAGATAAAAACGAGTGGAAGAATGTTTCAGGATTTTTATCCTTTTGTGACCCATCATGACAAAGTCTTTCGGTAGGAATATGCCTTGTGTCTATGAAATATTAGCCCCTTAAGGCTCTAATGGAGTAACTAACCTTTTTATGGGTCCAATATATTTAATGTTTTACTAGTGTTATTTCTGAAAATTCAGCAGTACATTATTGTATAGTCTAGTCATTTGTGAGCTGTATGTATATTCAATCAAATCGGAACATAGTTTGCCCCCGCAGTTCTATTTCTTAGGAGTGAACAATTATCAAATATTAAAATTCTTCTTTCTCTCGTTATTCATAACAAAGTGTACTATTAAAAGATAGTGTAGGGATTCTGGAACTCAAAATTACTTGCTCAATGGAAGTTCCCCTGGATACATCATAAGTGACTCGTCCTATACGACTGAAATTGTAGAATAAGTGACTCAATAATAATAGTAATTAAAAGTTCAAGTTCGATATCCGGAGTTTGAAGTAGGGGTCGAGGACAGACCGGCCGCCCATATTGTGGCGAGAAAAGCAACACTCCTTCACAGCTCTTTAACCTTCCGCACCAAGACCGTCAGGTGTAACAACCACTGGCACAATACTTCTTGAAGCTGGTACAAAAATGTTCTTAGGGTATATTTTTATTGTTTAAGGTACTTACACTACTTTGTTTGCTACACACTTTTATAAACGGAGCCCGGATAAAAATTTTGCGGGCAGGCCCGCACTCATTTCGCAACTGGGTTGACGGATAATTTTCGCTTCATTGTTTTAACGTAAATAATCTGTTTGTGCCAAATTTAAACATCTACCACAGATGTGCCGAACAGATTCGGTGGCTTTCTTACACAGGTGACATTTGTCCCTGATCTTTTTATGATTTTTTAGTGATAACTATCTGAATGACCAACACAAATCCTTCCGTCTCACCAAAAATCCTAGCGGTTCTTAACCAATCAGTGTCTTCATATCGATATGGTAACTTCGAAGCGCTGTAGCAAACTTTCTAAGGAGTTCCATTAATTTTCACTGCTTCTGAAGTGTTGACATTTCAGAAGGCCGCAAAGTTGGCAATAACCAAGTGGCCAATAAGTTGGCATCGGGTGCAAGGTTCTCTCCGTTTGTCATTGAAGCACAACCCAAGAGCTCTGGAGCGAAAAGAACTTGTGTTGCTTGTCTCACCATATGTCCTGCGGCTCTGTTACTGAGTTCTGTCTTGAAACGTCGGCACAGCGTAGCTATTAGAACTGGTAATAATAATAATGATAATAATAATAACAATAATAATGTCATTGAGTCACGTATACAATATTATTAATCGTATGTGACGAGTCAGATTTGATGTATGCGAGAGGAGTACAATTGCGCAAGTCTTCTTGAGCTTCAAATCCCTATTGCAGGCGTGTCAAGGTCGCGGACAAGTCCATTAAATGTTTTACTGCATTGGTCTGATCAATTACTCTGATATATCATTATTTGCTAATAAAATACTTACCCAGGGGAATGAGGATCTCTGGTTCAGTAGCCTGCCCGGCTTCATCCACTAGCACATGGGTGAAATGGCCTCTTGGAAAACCCATTGTGTAGAGTTGCCCTAAGGCAATGCATGTTCCTACTGTGATTCGGTGGCGACCAAGAGTACTAGCATTGGATGATGTTTTTAAGTTTTCGCAAACTGGAGTTGGAAGACTTGCTTCTCCTCGTGCAATACGAATGTCTCCTGTGGTAGCGAAGTTCAAAAGGCACTGCGGTAATGTGCCTTCCTCAATACAATGATAGCCAACTAGTCGTACCAAGTCTCCAGGTTGAAGGAGGTTCGACTCTAAAAGTCTTTCTGCTATCAAGTTGGCAGAACTGTTTGATGGTGTTGCAACAATGATCCTGGAATGACAAGTTAAGCTGTTATGTACTTATTCCCTATTGTTTCTTCAACATGTTATTTTTATTAAGAAACAAATTGTTCACATAAAAATATCGAGCATGTTCCTCTATTTAAATGGATCATATTATTTTACATTTCTGTGTACAGAAATTTTCTAGTCTTTGAACATCGGGTGATTTATTTGTGGACAAAATACCAACTAAATGTAATGACTTGCAAATATACTTTTGATAAGTTTTGTTATTGAATTATATAAAATAAACTGTGCAAAGTTATAAGGATTCTTCTGTAGAAAGAGAAACTAATGAAAAGTAAGTTCTGAGAATTAAATCAATTCTAAACACAGCTCAATATCTATAAATGCAATACTACCTCGCGTCAGCAACGAGCAGAAATATCTGCAGAACTGCCTCCACCACTGTGATGGTCTTTCCAGTTCCCGGTGGGCCAAATATGACGTATGGGAGAGGGCGTGCTTCTCCTCGTAAGACATTCCTCACTGCATCTTTCTGTTGCTGATTTAGGTTTTGATTCAACCACTTCAGTTTTACCACATGGTCTTGTGACTTCGGAGGCTCTGGGCATGGGAGGGAGTCCAGAGTGCGGTACCGCCTCCTCCGTGTGAAACCGGGCCCAAACCCCTGAATATCCTGAAAACATTAATAAATAATTTAGTGTTTTAAAGGAATTCTGCTTTCACAACTGACAGAGACTTCTACTTAACTTGTCCATGTACTCAATTTATTCTTTATCGATGTTTCCTGAACAATATCAATATTATTCAGTGTAGTTTCAATGTATTGTACTCGGCTGCTGAGGGCCTTCGGGCCAAGCAAAAACAAAGCAAAATGATTAAGCATTGTTGAGCAAAAAATGCACTTCGATGCCGTGAACCGTTTAGAAGTTATGGAGGTGGCGGGACCCCTGTATATGAGTTCTAAGAAACGACAGCGGCTCCTTCAAGTTTTGTGAAGCGCGTGCCAAGGCTAATTGTTTGAAGAGAACGTGAAAAATATTTTTCTCTTATCGATAGGAGTTTGTCATTCGTGACATATTTCAGTGAGCCACGCGTATTTATTAAAAACACGTGAATATGACGCCAAGCATGTGACATATGGTTCTTGATTTAAACATATTTCAGGAACCTGATTTGCTTGTGGCTGTATGGTACTACAGGCAGCGTTGTAAATTTCATTTTAATGTTTTCCCCCAAACTGCTAGTAACTATTTTAAAACCCCAACAAAGATATATTTTTTGCGAACAGATTTACGGGGATTACAGATTCCAGGTTTTCCTGCCGAAAATGTTCTTATTCCAGATTAGGTTTAAAAATTAATCCCTTCGGGTGGCTCATGGGCAGCTTGCTATCTTTCTATTGAGCGGTCTCGGGTTCGATTTTCCACCCAAAAGGAAGCTGCAGCTTTGAAAACACATCGTCCCAGTTTTATAGCTGTGTGACTAAAAGGAAGCGCAGGCAGGCCAAATAAGCTCGGTACAATGACGGAAATTTTTCATTTTTCTAGCGGTTGAAATGATTGTCATTAGATTAGGTAAGCGGATTGAGACCAGTGAAAGGCAACTTACGATGTGCCCGTTGCGAGCTCCCTCGGGGGCCTGGCGGTGCTGATGGAGGCCCGGCACCCGAGGAGGCAGGTCCTCTTCCTCACTGTCCACCCTCTCAGGGCACGGCATGTTCCCACTGTCCCCGTCGAAATTGTCCTCGGTGAAGTACAGCTGAGGCTTCTGAACCTTCACGCACTTCGGGAAGAGCATCCCCACGCCCATGTGGTTCAGGGCCAAATCCACGGCAGCGTGGCACCGCCGCATCGGCGTGCGGCTGAAGTGGAACGACACCGAATAAGAGCCGCCGTTGTACAGGGCGTGGAAGTTGGCATTGAATTTCAACCAGACTTCTTGCGAACACACTTTGTGAATGAATCCTTCAAATTGAAGAGCTAAGAAAAGAGAACAAAATTCATAAAAGAAAATGGTTATTTGTGGACATATTTTATGCACCAAAAGTAGATTTGTTTTTAAATTTGGGAGAAGTGGACAGCATTGTACAAAAGGATGTAAAATGGATACAATTCTGGGAGATACAATGTAAAAGCTGGGCTGCAGGGACAGTGTATGGAAATAGGGAGGGTAATTGGAGTAAGAAGAAACCAAGAGAAAAATGAACAAATAGGCGGAACGAAAAACACTTTCTTCTTTAATGAGATTAATACAGCGATGAAAAGTTGCCTTTTGAGTAAAGAAAGACAAAAATTAAATTTGGTGAGGTGTCGCAAGTACGATAAGATTTCATTCGTTTGGAAATTAGAAAGAGAAAAAAATTCTTTGCCGCTTTTCGATCCACCCTAGTGTATAAAGAAAATTAGTAGGACTTATAAAGAAGGAGGAAAAATAACAAAGACAAAACAACACTAAAGTGTATTGCAACAGCAATATTTTCTGCATTGTTTACAAACCTGCTCCAGCATCTGTTTGCAAAGTACTGATGGCTATCACTCTGTCTCCCAACATGAGAGATGGTCTTTTCTCAGCAAGGCCTGGAACTGCAAGAGATAACAGTCTCCCGTTTGTTCCTTTCACAAATGAAAATTCGGCTTTCTCCATATCATATTGTCTCATTCTCAAATTATACTCGATTTCTTCTAAATAGAGTAAAGCATGCATTCTTGTGCAGTAATTGTCCATTGACAAACTTTGTAGTAAGCATGGTACAGTGGTTCTACAGCTGTCTAAAACTTCATCGAGTTTTCTGGTTGCATTTTCAACACCAAGGACAGCTGCCCAAAGACGATCAGGAATTGGATACATTCCAAGACGCACTGGAACGAATGCTGGAGGTTTGATAGGTCTCACGCCAGATATAAGGAAACCCTTCTTATGCGATTCTTGCATTTTCCGAGCAAGCGCACACCTGTCATATTTCTCCCGAACGTGTGCAGGATTCTGAACCGTCGAGAGACAAGCTTGTGATTCTTCCTCGACTTCAACATCCAAGTAACGCCCTATATCAAAGCCCTTAAATTTAAACACAAATAGTTCCGAGGAATGGCCTAGAATAGTTCCTTTGGCATGAAAGCGATAAATCACACTTTCACTTGGCATTAAGATGATTGGATTCTTCATATTTGGGCAGATGAGGGACACCTGATAATCAGCGCCTTTGCGTTCTACAAATCGACCTCCCAGAAGTAAATGTTTTCGACCGCTATTGTTGAACACTTCTACTCCAATTTCTTTCTCTTCACCCATTTGAAGAACCCCAAACGACAAATTATCTTTAATAACCATGCCCTTTTTATTTGCCAAGAGAGATTTCATTTGCTTATTACTGGAGGACCGTGTTGAGCTATTGTTGTCCTTCTCTGTTTGAGGAGAGACATTGAGGGCTCTCCATGCCAGTGTTTTCTGTTCACTCTCGATTGCCTGCAACAAAAAATAAACGACAATACGGAAAACAAAACAAAGAACTACATTTTATTTGGAAAATTAATGTTCTTAGTGAAATGAATTATTTCAAGAAACTATCAAATATGTCTTGGACAACATTGGGATATAAAAATAAAATAAACTGCCATTAGCAGTTATTCTAAAATATTGTACGCATTTAATAAATTAAAAGTAAAATAATTATATGTTCATGGAGGTATGGTACTACAAAAGTTGCCATTAAATGAATTGTATCTGTTCTACATTTCATTTTTGTTCACCCATTGATTTTCATGTTTATGTGCTCAATACAATTACGTTATTAATACATGTAACAATAGCAGGCAAAACTGAGAAAATTGTCACACAACATTTAAAAACTCAGAAAGTGTAATTAATGTCGGATGGCTATTGATTGCTTCCAAAAGTTTCATACAGATCAGTCTATTAAGACTTATTTTTATTGCATGGCAAATTAATGTATTTGTTGAGAAAGAAAAATTAACACAGAAATAAAATAGCATCCAATTTACACATTCCGAATGTCTTTTTATTTATCGCCTAATGTTTTTATCTGAACAAATACATTAATTTCTTTTGTAAATAATAAACCATTTACATGTTTCTGGAGTGTTTCTATGCTTCTGCAATGCAAATTTTTGCCTTTTCTCAAACCAACTTTTGAGTTCTTATTGTGACTCAACCATTCGGAATGTCCCGGTGGTTTATTAGACAAATTATGCTTAAGAGCTTATTTGCGAAGTTTCGACGCTTCCTCCCCGGACATACTGTGTAGTGCGTCTCATGCAGTACAGTTGTCTCGTGTCCTTACCTCGACGTTGACGCGGTCGAGGCGGCAGGGCATGTAGCCCGACTCGCAGGCGTCCTTGCTGAAGTAAATCTCGCCGTCCACGACGCCCTCGCCCTTGGCCAGATCCCACGTGGTGACGCCGCCCACGAGCGCCTTGCAGCGCAGCGCCTTCACGCGGTCCACGGCGAGGATGTCGCCGCTGCCGTCGGCGCACGACGGGTCCACCTCCGCGAACACGTCCAGCTGCAGCCAGTCGCCTGCAAACGAACGCTCCAAATATCACCAGCGGACAAAACAACCAAGGGTACTTCAACTTCCTCGGCTTAAAGGGTCCAATCCCGCCTCCAACATTTGCTTCATTGTTTGCAGTGGCATGGGGGAGCTCTCCAAACCACCTTTGAACCCTGTTCCTGCCTTCATTCTACTACTCGAATAATAAAGAAAGAAAATTGTTATTCTCGTACACTAGCCCAGACGTTTTCGACCTTTTTGTTGCCGTGACTCCCTTCAAATAACAAATTATGCACCTGCCCTCCTCATTAAAATTAAACTCTTAATAGGTAAATTTTTTTCCCCTAAAAGTAAGGCCATCAGGTGTACTTTTTTTAATTTCTCGCTGCTGCTTAGGCAAAATAGAGAAAGTGTTGTACTGGTGCGCGGAAAAAAACGGCGAATTTTCGACAGAAAAACGTTTATTGACGGGCAGTGGTGACGAAAAAGTAGATAAATCTTGTTTCTTTATACAGTAAATTACTTCAGTTAACACGTCGTGTAGAAATAATTCATGTTTTGTGGGTCCCTGATACCGAATAATCGATTGACAGCAATACGTCTGTCTGTGGGGAAAAAAAAAAAAATAAAAAAAAAATCCGCTAGCGCTTCAGGGAATAGTGCACGTCTCATTTTCGTTAAAGTCCATCTTTTTTCGATAAATTCTAAAATGAAAAATTTGTTTGGCGTCTTCCTACTACTACATTAATAAAGATATTTTTTTTCCTTAACGAAATGTGTGCAATAAAACATCTTTAAATAACGTAATGGTCCATGTTTTCGGAAATATAAGATTTATGTGTATTTTTTGTAAACATAGGCCATTTTTAAATTTTAATCAATTATTTTCTCAGAAATGGCTCCAATTTTTTCTTTAGAAAGGTAACGAAAGTGGCGCTGGTCTCATATTCGGCGCATTTTTCGAAATTTCCGAAAATTTGGAAAAAATTGGAAATGGTAAATGGCGGTGTTATCTCACATTGCTCTGTAATTATCACGCTGATACATTTCATGTGAACTGGTGGAACAGCACAAACTTTCTCGCCCTTAAAAACGGTCAATCGGCGACGGCAGCAAAGAGCGCATATTTTCTTGGCAATAAGCAATTCTTGCCACTGATGGCTCTGTATTTTAGTGACAATTGTTGTGGCTTTTATAAAAGTTCTTAGAAGGCATTATTTCTTGAACACACTTGCATTCTAAATTCTTAACTTTTTCACCACTCTAAATGACTTTTAACCAAACAAATCCATTATGTTATTCTCTTCATAATTAACGTCTTCAAACAGAAATTAAAGTTACAGATGCCCTGTCAGTAATATAACAAAATATTACTCAATAATTTATTTAGTAACGGTCTGTGTGTGTAAGTATATATTTAAACTCCAACAGACCTTTAATTTGAACACTTATATGTATATGAATACTTATGTACATAATAGTTATATAATATGTACATAATAGTAGTTCAGTAAGTGAAATCGTTATTTAAATAATTGTGTATTTTTTGGGAGGTGTATCCTACGTAAAATTAAATCTGTGTATTATAATTTGCTTTTTTCATCAATAACAGTAATGTTTGAAATGTATCTGTTTGCTAATCAGAGCATTGTGTAATAACGCCACCTCAAACGAGGCGCGGGAAATTCGAATTGTTTTTCCAATTTTCGAAAATACAGAGAGAGCGCCGAAAATGGGACCAGCACGACGTTCTTTGCTACATATAAGAAACAAGTTTTAAAAAATTTTAGCCGTTTCTGAGAAAATCATTGTTTAAAATTTAAAAAGTCTATTCGATGCACAAAGTACTGATATTTTCGAAAAATTGAACATGATCTTACTTCAAGATTGATTTGATGAACACATTGTACAACGTTTTTAAAATTCAAACAAAAGATGTTGACCCATTAAAAAAATGAAAATATTCGAGATGCTTCATGTAAAGCACTTCCCAAAATTAAAATATCGGTTTCAAATTCAAAGATCCGCGACATCAGTGTGATCGATTGGGCATCATCGATTTTGGAGAAAATGGTCTGATCGGGTAGGCGCCAGCGTTGACCATAGATGGATCATTTGCCGACGACCGATTTTTCGGTGTCAAGGACCTACAAACCATGGATTTTGACTATACTGTTTATTAAAGGATGTAATTCACTATAGAACAACAGGATTTATTCACTTTTTGGTTAGACAGGTCCCGGCAATAAGAGTTTATCTGTTGAAAAATCGCCGTTATTTCCCACGCGGCATTACAATACTTTCTCTATACTGCGTAAGCAGTAGCGAGAAAGTAAAAGATACAAAAACCTTGAAATGATTTCCTCTCCCCTGGCTCACCCCACACACTTCAGGACTTTTAGTACGATGTGCGGGGAGTACCAACGAACAATCATGCAAAATTTAAAAATTCCGTTTTGTTCACTCGAAATTAATTGGATTATGACAAACAGTGACATCAATAAATATGGAAATCCTCACGTGTATAAAAGTGAAAGATTACTTTTAAATTCTGGTTAAAATAGAAACATTTTAGCGTATCGAAAACGAATTACAATTTCAGTTAAAAACCGAGACAAAAGAATGATGTGTGCTGTATTGTTAATTTCGTATGCGCCCAGAACTTGTGATAACTTGCCATTATTTTTTTTTACAATATAATTTTTTTAAACTTTTGCTATGAATGAAAATTATTTCTTATGAAAATTTTTGCTTTTATGAAAACAAGAAGGAATTCTTCTATCACTTGAATGATACTTTATTGCTCTCGCAACCAACTGAGTATTTTAAAGACCAAGTGATGTGTCTAAATATCAAATTAACGTGAAACGACAGAAAACAGAGCTTCTAAAAGATTGAATCTTAATTAAAACTAGGCGGAACAATGGAATCATGGTGCTTTTGGGAACAATGAGATAATAATGTTCGGTTATGGTATCTGAATTGGAGTTATGGAACAAAAAACGTTCACCGTACGTTTGAAAATGGTTACACTGGTATTGATGAGAATGTATTACATGGAAATACTGTTCATACACTTCAAGAATTAAAAGTGCTTCTCGGCAATATTTGTCAAATAAGAAAATCTTAATACTTGTAATTAGAAAATGAAAATACGAAGTCTGTTTAAAGAAAAATATTATATTGAAAATACTATCTCAAAGAATTTAACCATAATCCTAAAAACTGTCCTTTCCTAAATTTTTCTTGATTCTGGACTTATCATTAATACCAGACATTCTAGAAAAATGTTAAATTTTCTCTAACACTACGTGTTAGAGTAAGTAATTTATCATATATGGGGTCAATATTTATCCACATTTTCATTACCAGGACTCGAAATATTTTTTTTGTGTCGAAAATTCGCTTTTGTTCCCTGCAGTACTACAATGTTTCTATATTGCGTAAGCAGTAGCGAGAAAATAAAAAGAAGTCAATGATTTATCAAGTTCACGGTAACTCTTAACTGATGGGCTCTGCAAGACCCTCGTGATTGTTTTCTTTCGCAGAACTCGCGTCATCTTCGCAAAATTAGATTAGCCTCTGTGTCTACTTTTTAAGTTAAGTGGCTGTCAGTGTTCACAGAAATTGGCGGATCAGGTTCTCTTATTACAGCCAAATGACAGCCGATTATATTTCATAAGACGTATCGTAACAGTTGCGTTAGTATTCTTATATATTCTCTATGTTCTTGCTCACAGTGATTCATAAACTATTCAAGTACTTTTGATGTTTTAGATGCCACTTTTTTTCAGAGGCTGTATGTATTCGAGGACTGACGTGAAATATGAATAGATTTTAATTTTATCAGAATTCGATGACATGGGTATGGTCGTTTTCGAAATGGGGCCGGTCCCTTCGTCGAAATCCTTGTTAGTGGAAATAAGAAGAATTTCGAGAAGATGAATGATTCCGCGTTTAGTGTATTACATTGTAGTAACTGATGATGATTGATCCAAATAATAAACAAATAATTATATTACCAAAAGTTTGTTCTTTCTGTGATTGTGCAAATGATATGGATAGAGAGACAAAATGCGCACTGCCAATGTCTTCCTTCCACTAAGTACAAATGTATTTTTGATTAAATTTACTTCGTGTGATGTGCTGAAAGTAGTAATTATTTAAAAATCGTCATAAAAGGAGAACTGGCCATATAAAATGTAGTAGTTTTATCTTATCGAAAAAAATCATTAATCACTACGAGTTTGAAATAGCTTCATGATTCCACTCATACACATTCGTTTGGATATTGTATTGCATTAGTTTATTGTTAACTGAAGTACACTTTTTCAGGGGTTTGAAACTATACATAAAATGATATTTTGGCATAATGCTAGACGTCCAATACACAGGTTCAAGTAAATCTACAATTTAAAGTTATAGATCTTAACTCATTTTCAGATTTTAGTAATAATTTTTATTAAAAATTGTTGGGCGGTATATTTGAAATAAAGAGAAGTTTACAATATCAAGTGAGATGAAAAATGGAAACGAGATCTAACACGAGGATTTAAAGAATAGTTTTGACCTGAAGTAAAATGTTTAAAAACAGGAAATGTCGATAAGTTGGTGAAAAGGTTTTTTATTTGCAGGAGAAAATGATTTAATAGAATCTCTATCAAGTTGTTTAAGAACGAAGTTTATTTGGGATGAACCAATCTACTTTCAATAACGTCCTAAAAAAATATTTTGTACTGTTTAAATTTTGTTAATATGTGTGAAACAAGCATGACACCAAATAGCAGGGGGTAGCGTCCATGGATGTGGGTGGTGTTACATACCCTGACAATATCAGCCATTTTTATTTTAAATTATTTGTTAATTGCCCATTCCTTATTCTATTTTTGTATTACGTTTTTTCCATACATATTTTAAACATCGCGCCGTCGAGGATTGGAATTTTCACGTTGATTAACGACTCGCTCTGAAATGCCGCCTCGCCTGTGCTGAGAATCAGATGCACAGCGATGCTCATGAAATAGATATCGTGTTACGAAACTTCTTTGTTTTCTTCGGTGTTTGTAAGAGAACCAGATTAGTTTATAAGAATTGCAGTTCTATTTAAGTTTATTGCCTTATTTGAATGCATGTAGCAACTATATATTTGTACCCAATGTAGGTTAGGGAATGGTGGTTGAATGGAGAAGGGTATGTGCCCCATCGATGCACATCTGTGACGTCGAATGGTGCGCACTATGCGATCAAAGTGCGGCTATATAATTATGGAATCGTATTGTGACGTGGACAAAAATGGCAACAGATGAAACAACAAATGAAACAAGAAGTATATAGTTTAAGATTCTCCGAAGAAGAAAATATAAAAAGAAGGCCCCAAAAAAACTCTCAATGCCATTACGAACATTAAAAAAAGACAGGAACTTTAATACCAAAATTTATGACTTATAAGCAAGAATCATGGATGTGCGTTGGTGAGGGTCTTAAAATATATTTTGGTAATCTATTCTCGAAACGAAAAAAAAACCCTCCAGTTATGCAGTTTGAAAGAATATTTGCAAAGCTCAGAATACACGTACTAAGATCTAGGACACTGGTAAATCAGGAATATTTAGAAGTTTTAATTTTTTTTCTTGGGTTACGTACCCTAAGCCAACAATCAGGCTACGCTACTGCCAAATAGGACATGCATAGGAGAGATGTCTAATAACAGATTTCAATAAAAGAATTCCACAATCAATTCGCAATTTAGATTAGTTATTTATTAAAGAATATATTTTTAAATTTTGTGATGTTTTAACAATGATATTTTGAATATGAGATTTCTAAGTTAATCTGATTCTAATCATATTGTAAACATTTTTGCCTACTTTAGAAGTGTTAATTGTGATTCTCCAACATTGCGTTTTATAAATTTTTGAATGGCATTTTGAACAAGATTGCGTGCAAGTTTTGTTTTTGACGAATGTAATGGAAGGTAAAGGAGGAATATCAGACTTTAAAATGTAAAGGAGAGAGAGTTGAGATCTGATAGGTCGAGTATTTGAAAAACAGGAATTAATTTTAACAGCAAATTCACTGTCTAAAAGAAAGTTTCAGTTACTCGCAGGATTTGATATTAAGTAGAAGAGCTTTCACTAAATCTGAATTAATAATTTGGAATAGTTTGTATTGACGAGCTGTAATCAGAAAGGCGAACACGTATTAATTTTTCAAACACTGTTGATAGTGTGGATAATAACCTTAGGTCTATAACGCATCGGATTATGCAAATCACTATCTGATTTACGGCATGGACATGAGCAATTATTTTCTGTAACTGAAATTCGAAGCAAGGAATTGAGTAAATTTGTTAATTTAAATATAGCTGTCAAGTGTAACTCTTTCAAAGTTTTACTTCATTTCGACAAGAGGCCGTTAGGCCGAGTCTGATTGATAAATAATAATAATTACTTCTCACCAATACTTAAGATATTACTTCCAATTAACACATATAGAACATTTATAAAAATAGTATTACTACGTATAACGTAAGCTAAATCTTCACACATCCGGATTGCTCCGACGTAACGTTATGGAGGATTGGATTTCTTTAAGCTTACGTAAAATTTTAAAACTCTTTTGTAGACAATAGTTTGTTAGGGCATGCACTGCATGCTAAAAGTTCAATTTTTAGCATTTGAGCTAAAAGTGAGACGATGCTAATGTATTCCGATAAAAATGATTGCAACAAAGGAGCCAAAATACTTTTGACTGACTACACCAGCTACTACCAAACCAAACGTAATATAGATAATAATTAAGTGACTTGTACAAGGCCGACAGACCGAGTGGCGCAATCTTTCTTATTCGCAAAATAAAATGACATCTACACTAATAGCGGGCTATGCCTGTACCAATCGTATCATAACTGTTAAAAAAGAGACACGTTGCAGTGTTTTTATACGCCTAGACGTGTATTTCATTGTTACAGAGGTAGCATTGTTTAAGATTCCTCAGTGCGAAGAAATGCTATGCTAACAAGAATAAAATATGAAGTAAAATAATAGTTAAAAATAAGTATTATGTAATTCAAAACATCTTTTTTTATTTTTATCATTTCTTATATCTGTAATTTCTGTTCTATTTGCAGGAATACTATTACAGGAAATCCTGTTGACCAATACGGCGTTTTGAATTTTGCAAAACTGTACGTGTAAACGGAAAATGTATATCCCAAAACAGAGTGTATTGTCTTCTTAACATAGAAAATGCGTGTCACGGGGACTTGTTATGAAAAACTGACACAGAACTGAAATATTTCTGGGTTCTTGAAAATAAAAATAATATTTCTAATCTTCATTTATAAGTTTTATACACCAACTATTTTGGTACGTTATTAACATTTCTTTTATAAATGTAGAGACATTTTATTTAAATTATTTAGCCCTTAAATGTAAGCAGTTTACGATTCTTGGAAACAATAGCAACGTCAGGATGTTCTTTACTCAGGTACACATTTTTAAAGTACACCAGCTATGTTGATATTTTAGACATGGATTATATTAGTTATGTTTAGATATGGGTTTGCTACTGTTAACGTGCCAATTAGATATTGTTTTACCCATCTCTTTAAGACAAATTAAAGAAAAATACCAACAATTTAACCGTATTAAAATTGTCTAGTTACTTGAAATATACGTTAATAAAATATTACTATAAATTTACGTCTTAGTAATTGAACATCATGCTGAACAATAAAATATTTATTTAGCCTATGGTTGTGGTAAACATACCTTCGAGAGGAGTGAAATCAGCTTTTACTTCGTCCAATCTGAAACGTAAATCTGGTGTTACAATAATATCCCGATCTCTTCTTTTCACCACTCGGCATACATGCGTGCGCCGGGTAGTCTCGCGTGATTCCAAGATCACTCCATTAATGTCAGGTTCGTTCTCCCACGGTTCATTTTCGACGCTTAGTATTTTATGCACTCTCCATTCTTCCGAAATTCGTCGACGATACGCAATGAACACAACGTGGTCGCCTACGCGATAGTTGGTAGTAGGAATGTCCGTCAAACCGAAATACAGCGAATCATCGATTAATCCGTAATTGGGGTACAGTTGTGTAATTTTCCCCCTTCGACGCTGGCATAAATCATTTTTGGTATCCTCGTTGAAACTTTGTTCTTCCTTTTCTTCGGAACTTTTTTCATCTTCTAGATAATTATTAGCCACAACTTGAGCCTGCTCTGCTTCGAGCTCTGCAACCATACATTCAAAATCGACAATCTCCGTTTCAAGGCTTTGCACGTGAGGCTTCTTCTTTTGGAATAGCCCCCCGATAATAGGCTTTAAACCGAACATGTTTCGGACGTTTTAAGCGTAATACCGTAATTATATTTGTTTCACTGAACGAACTTGTCTCTTCGCACACGCACTATCTTAGGGCGACTGCGAACTGGCGAGCAGATACCAACATCCTAGTCAGTCGACGTTGCAGATTTCATTTGTACCAACATGATGGAATTAGAGTCGTAAGTTTTTTTTTAATGATTTGCTTGAAGAGATTCATGTTTTTTCTTAAACATTAGTTGATAGTGAACTTTATAACTGTTATTTTTAGGTTTACATTTTGAAAAATACTTATAAAAATATATATTTTCTATTATCTTCAATATTCATTAATTAATTAACTTTCTCGTTATTACATTTTGACACATATACTGTTGTGAAATTTTTAAAAATGTACTGTGAATTTTAAATTTTATCTTCTTTTATTTTTATGGAAGTTTTAATGAAATAAAGATACACAGATATCGGATAATTTAATTAGAAGGCGGCAAAATGTATCTAGACATAGTTTGAGACATAAAGCATCAGAAAAATCACGAAGTGTGGCAACTCTGCTTTGGCATGTTCTTGTACTTCTTTTCTTTTCTTGAAGACGCGTGATTACAGAAAACATATTTCATTTCTGTTATTTGGATTTCTTTCCACTAAGTTTATTGCAATTATCAGATAGTGTAAACCAGAAAGCATTAGCACGGATAAATACTACTAGCATATATAATTTTCTATAGAATTACATATCAGTAGTTGTAAACTTTTCGGATTTATCTCATCAGGAAAATATTGAAATCTTAGTCAATTAAGAAAGTAATTGACCACTGGAGAATGATTAGGTCATTAATAATGATTAATTTCGTGTACACACTCTTTCGTAACCTTTTTTATCTTGATGCAACTACATCATGGAATTAACCTAAATCCTGGCGCGAAATTCAAACGCATAGTTTGAACGCGAGATACATTAATACCAAATGCCGCGAAGAAATGCACATGGAATGTGCATTTTTATTAATAATAACCAATACAATATTGAATACACAAATAAGATCCTAGTACTAGAATATACCTAATCTGATATCATGAAGGTTCAAGTTCAAACAAAACCCATGATCTTTACTGAAAATTAACAAAATTGATTGATATATTGATTGTAATTGAACCGAAAGTAAAATGTATTGAGCACAATAAGTACTTACAACTATTAACATTATTATTTTAAAAGAAGAGAAATTCTACCAATACTCAAGTCATTCATGGAACGTTTCTGCAATGAGAAGCGATTGTAACAAGTAGTTCAAATCCAATTCAATATTAACTTAGTGGTGCTACAGAGTGGCACAGACTCACGTACTAGTTCCTTTCCTAATTTTTTTGGTCTGGGCTAGCTTTTTGGTTTTGCCCCTCCCTCTTCTCAGCTGGCATCTACTGCGGCCTAAGTATCATTTTTTTCACATTTGCTAAGTTTTTGGGTCCCCTAATTGTAGAACAGTAATATGACTTTAAGAATAACAGAGATGAGTAAAACCTGGTCCTATTCGCAAACTTTCATTTCAAGATCAAACTTTGATAATTTTCGAAAATTCAGAGTTAACAGTAAAAGGCCGTTTAAATCTCGAAATCGATTTTCGGCAGTTTTGCTACGCGTATTTCTCCGTGTATACGTACTACATAGGTATACGATAAAGTGATAGACGACTTAGTCTGTGAAAGAGTGAAAGACTATAGTGCTGGCGCTTAACAGCACATACTTTCTTGCATTATAACAAACGGTTACGTAAGATTAAAATGCTACCATTTCTGCCCTTCTAACTCTTCAGCTATCACTTAAAAAAGTCCAAACTATTTAAGGCGAAGTGCCTGTGGTGCATATTTGCATTTATTTGGATGGCCAGGAACACTAATTTTCGTCTACTAATGAATCATGAATAAATTAAAATGTTACAATATTTGCAGCACATTACACAAAAAATCAAGGATGATTTCATTCGAGCTGTTACATCGAAGTAAACTTCCATTTTTCATATATTCACACTGACATTAAGATTGTATTAGACTTTTTGGTCCAGAGTTTATTTTAGACTATCATATATATATATATATATATATATATATATATATATATATATATATATATATATATATATATTGAAAACCAATAACTTAATAAAAAACATAAATTAGATTGAAATTTTATTGAAATGTTCTTTTAATGTTTGAAACATTTTTCTTCTCTCAACGTTCCGAGGAGCACTTTTCCTCTTCTCCTGGAGTCAATAAAATTCTGTCATTCTATTTCGAAATCTATTTCTAATTTGTGTAAAATTACTGCATCTTAAAAATCCTGAACAACAAATTCTATAGTGTCAGAGACTATACCTCTTCCCATACAAAGTATGAAATTAGTTTATATTGTTAAGTTTTGTTGAATGAGTACATGTATTTAAAATGAGCGACGTTAGAAGCGAGTTTTCAAATTTGTACGAATGCAATAAAGCAACTTATAAACGAGTAGCATACGCTATTTTTTGTACAACAACTTTATAAATTTATAAGAGAAATGAACTTTATTTTGAGAAACGACTTTCTTGCGGCGCCTCGGGTATTTGGTGTCTGTGCGAGAAAACGATGGTCGGCTGTTCCGTTTACCCTTACCTCCCCACGATGCCTCGCTGCTTTTGGCTGAGTGTGATGACGCAGTCATTCTTGCCGTAAAATGCTAATATGTCATCATGTGTGTCGTAAAATGCCCGATTATGAACGATTTCCTGCAAAACAAAAGGTTATGTATAATGCTAGTATACAAAAATTATTTTAAAGGGGCCTTAGTAAATATTATCTTCAAAATCACAAATATGATACCGAATTTTTCTGAAATAAATAGGAATATGAAAATAAAAGAAATTATTCTCTAAATTAGTTATGTGGCTGACCACTCAAAATCAAAATGGAGATACAAATTAATAATTACATTAATGAATAGTTGTACAAGACGTAAACGGGAAAGAACATTACTTTCGAAACGTCAAATTGTCCTCTGACTTCCGCTCTTCTCCTAATTTACTACATCAAAATCCTATTTCGATGTCTCAAACCATTCAGTCTTGTGAATATTGAAGACGAAAGACGTATCCAGCATATCTGATGTTATTTAAGAATATAGTAACAAAGCGATTCTCTTTGAGCAAGAAACGCATGCTGACGTCTGACAAGACATTGACCAGAATAATAGCGGTTTGCAATTGAGTAAAAAAAAAGTTTGTGAGTTAGAAAGTACTGAGTGGTTGAGCGTAGTCCTAATGTGCTGCGAGCGGTCGACTTCTGCCTGAAAGGCCTACTCAGCGCCCCCCGCCGGGGGGAGGGGGTGGGCGAGGAACCGCTCGGGTAAATGACAGGGCGCCGCCGCCGCCCCCGCCCTCTTCCCCTCGGCTCTTGGGTACTTCGCCCTCCCTCGACTCGCTCTTCCTTCCGAACACTCTGCCTTTGCTGCTCGTCACCTCCGGGTCTTCGGTAAAGGATTGATTATTTCGTGCTTCCGGGCGGGTCAACTGCTGAGGTCAAGCGTCTCGTAAGTGTAGTACTTTTCCAAGAGGTGGAGGTGGTCTTTCCCCGCTGGACGGTGAGATGCGGCGCTTTGAAGTAGGCTAGCGGGGTTCTCCTCAACCAGGTATCTCCCACCAGCAGGGCACCACCCTACCCGGGACAAGCTCTAAGCTCCCGACTGATGTCCCGACATGGGTGGTAGAGGAGTGCATGGAAGTGTGATGTAAATGCATGTGTGTGTGTGTGTGTGTGTGTGTGTGTGTGTGTGTGTGTGTGAGGAAGGGGTGAAGATAGGACAAGGACGGGGAAGGATAGATCACACTTGGTCCGTGGTCGGTTTGTTAGAGAACTGCTCTGACTTTTGTCTGATGTTGATCGAAGAAACCACGCAAAACTACCGATTAGAGCAGCCGGCCGCTAGAATTCTCCTCCAGACAACTCCTGATCTCGACTTATCTTATGTAGCTAGAGCCGACAATACTACCATTTTGGGGAGTCGAATCCTAAGACCTCCCGGTCATAGTCACTGCAGTGACATCAATTAATGTCCTGAGCCACCTAAGCCAGTACAAACAGACGACGTGAGTTACTAGAGTTATAAGAACGGCGAAGTGCTAAGAATCTTATGTCTCTATGGGAGATACCTGGCTGGGGAAACACGCTAGCCGTTGTGTAGGTCAGCGCCGTATCTCGCCAACATCCGAGTGGGACTAATGACCTCGGCAATTGCCGCGCCCGGAATCCACCTTTTGAGTCTGAGGAGTGAACCCGGGCCTGGCCTGAAGGCTTGTGGCAGGTCTCTTTTAGTGAATGGCGGGGGCGGCGCGGGCGCTGGCGTTCCACGCGCGCCTGCTGCGCGCCATGGGCGTGTCGCCCGCGGGCGGCGCGTGGGCGCGCGCGCGCCTCGCCCTCATGGGGGTGGTGATGGCGGCGCACCAGCTCTCCTGGCTCTACTACAACCTCACCGAGGCCGCCGACATGGCCGCCGTCACCGAGGGCCTCCACATTGGCCTGCAGGTCTCTGCAGGCCCAATCTGATTTAGTCTTATTTCATTCAACAATGCGCTTCGATTACAGTTTTTTTTCTTTTCAAATTTGTGTGTTTACAAACCTTATTTCGAGATGTGCTCATATTCTCAGAGTTAGCTTTTTTTGTAAATCCTGCCTAAGGTGGAACCTGGATGAGACAGAAACCTGCTTTCGCCGGAAAAATCTCAGAACGGACTATTGTCCAATGCAGATCTCACAATGCGGATCTGCCGAAAACCTGCTGTGAATTTAAAAACGTATATCTTAATAAATTATTATGCTTTGAAGCTATATCGACCTTCATTAGTCATGAAAATGTAATGCGTTGTGTAATTAAATTCAAATATTGTTGCGAGAAAGTCGACATTTTTTGTATTTTTGTCGACATATTTATATTATACGAGGTATATAAAATGGGTGTTAGGTCCATTTTCGTCAAATTCTCT